AGAACTCCAGTTAACCAAATGTTATCACATTCTTTCCTTATTAGTTCAATTAATGTTAATTTTGGTCCTTCTCCTAGATCAATCACTGCCTTCTATGTCAATCACATTCCTGCTAGTGCAATTATTAGTCTTCACTTCAGAAGACCAAACCATCTAAGCCAATTGTCTCCTATTGTATTTCGAATGGACGCTACTTTGACCGTTTCATGAATGTATTCTTTTTTTATTTTATCATTTATTGTTAATCACACATCCCTCTTAAGGTCCACATTTCGCTGACACTATTTAAGAGCAAGTTATATGTTAACCACCCAACATTCTATCCTATAAAGCATGCATGGTCTATGAACTGTTCTATAAAATTTACCTTCCAATTGTAGAGCCATTTACTGGTCACAAAATATTCCAAGAGCACTTCACTTAAATCGTCGTGCTTAAATTTTAAGGACAATATCATCTCTAATCACTCTCTGAATAATTGAGACTAAGAAACAGAAGTACTAGTTTTTTGGTATCTCTTTACTCTCAATATTCACCATATTCCCACTTATGTTCTTAAGTTCCTAACTTTGACAAAATTACTTTCCATAAATTCAATTTTAGTCCAACTTATCTGCCCCCCATGATACAAACCTCTAATTATCCCTTCTGCAATTTCATCAACTAGAACAACATCACCTAACAACTAGCACAAGGTAACATCATTCCATACATGTCTTCAGTTCATCCAGAATTAAGCAAAAAGATAGACTTAATGCTGACACATGAAAACTAATGGTACCCCTTTGTTCCCTTGGCATCTGCAAGTTCTATCTAATCATCTTAAGTGGAACTATAACAGAAACAAAGATGTAGGAACTGCAAATAATTAGAATCATCACCACAGGGTGTGATATATCACAAAAGATAAAGAAAAAAGAACAAATGATTTGGTTCTTAAGTTCTTTTTAATAGATAAAAGAGAATCGTTCAAATGCGTCAAAGTTAACACAACCAGTGCAACCTGAATTATACACACGACTATACAAAAGTATAACTCGTATCAGCCTGATAAACTTATACAAGAATCAGTATAAACTAAGGATCTTCCATTTGTCCAAAAGAAGAAAGGAGCTTAATATCAAAGGAATGTCTTCTCCTCTCCTTCCCAAGGCACCACCAGCAATATAAAAGGCCCTCACTCTAAACACTCTACAATTGTAAAAGGCCATAAAAACAAATTTGAGGCGTAACCCATTGAAATCCAAACACGGAAAAGAGAAGACACATATATAAATCTCTAAACATTAGACAATGCAACATCATATGACTCACTAAGTCAGCATCACTTTACAAGTAATAGCAATTAACAATAAGTTTCCTCTTATTTATCAAATTGTTTACGGTAAGAATCTTTACAAACTCAATTGTCCTAGAAAAGGCTATATTATGGGAAATTTAGTAGCCCGATGACTTTCCATGGAAAATCAGGAAGGCCTCCACCTCTCAAGTCTCAACACCCAATGGAATGACCTTCCCATTCCCAACAGCACCATCTTAAGAAGTCCTAAGCCCTCTTATTAATAATACTGTAATAATCTAGAGTAAAATATCATGGTCATAGATTCATAAAAAACTTTGTAATAAATATGCAGAAGTTAATTGCTTTTGTTACAAACATACTGACTTAATTGTTTACTAATAAAATTAAAATACTGACTTAATTGCCCACTGCGTTAACTAAAACTAGCTGAAGAATGAAGAATCAACATCTTAAGAGTTAAGACACACAAGCATGCATATATATATATATATATATATATATATATATATATATATACACATTTTTATCAAGTAGTTATAGACAATCATACATTCATGTTGGTAGTAATGATGCTAGTGACTAGCTAGGTCATAAAGCTAACGGAGGTTAACTGAAATCACTATATAATAATGGAAAGGATCATACCTTTTTTCACCAATAGATCGAATTAATTACACACTACAGAAACAAAATACAGCTCTAGAATTCAACATATATTTATATACATATACATACATACATACATTTGGGGGGATTTCTCCAATGATTGTCCGCGACAAAGAGTGATCAGCGAAGACGACCATGACTGCAGACAGGCATAAAGTGAAACATGCAGTAAAGAGGGCAACAGAATTGAATTTTGGGCATTAATGAAGTAGGCACTAACCTCGCAAGCTCGCGATATAGATATAAAGTAGTACGGAGTGTATCAGATTAAAATTTTGAAACTACACACAAATGCCGCCCGTTGCTTCGAATTTACACATATGTATACGTGTGTGTATATATTCTTTCTATAATTGCCTGTACGCGGGACAGATGGATTACATGTATATTACGGTGGACTATAGAATGTTTTAAAAGGTGTGACACCCCTATCTACGGGAAAAAATAAAATGCAAAATGGCTTAAATTATCCTTCTATTTTCCTTTGTCATTTTTAATTAAGTCACCCTTTTATCCCCTTCATTTTTGTTATGCAAATACCATGAACAGTTGACGTTATAACTGGTTGCTTTCCTTTATTTCATTCACTCTCTTAACTAATAAGATCAGTTCTTTAATAAATAAATAAATAACTAATAATATAAGTTTTTATTTTTTATTTTATCCTCTTACTTTCTAAACATAATGTAAGCTTGCCTTATCAGTTTTTATTTATTTTTTATTTATTATCCTCCTACTTTCTAAACATAATGTAAGCTTGCCTTATTTAATTTATGTGATAAAATACCCCATATTTATGCCTTTTAATGGTCTGAAAATCATTTTTTAAATAATGCCTTTACATAATATAGAGTATAATATAAACATTTTATTTGTTTTGAAGAATGATAAAATAAAATAAAATAAATTATTCAATATTTTTTTTTAGGTGTGTTATATTTAATCAAAAAGTGTTAGAGGAGATAAAGTTTATACCCTTATCAAGTAATGTGCATGTCTAATGAAATTAGACATAGTGTTAGATTCCTTTTTATTATAAGGGTTAATTACATTCATACCCCCTGAGGTTTGCCTTATTGACAGCCAGATGAAAGATAGCCATTTTTTGAACAATGACACCCCCCGTCAGATTTTGCATCCAAACAATGCCTAAAAAGGAGTAAAATGTCTACATTACCCTTTAATACTTTATTCATATTTAATCTAAAATATCAGAACCATTAAATTACCGACATACCCTTTTTTTTTTAGGAAAAAAGAAAATTAACTATAGCTACCTACTTTCTCTCTCTAACCTCAATATCCTCAACCCACCGTCGCCATGACTCACATCTGCCACCGCCACAACCTCCACCCACAACCACCACCTCCACCCGGTTTTTTATTTTTCTCTCTCCACTCAACCGTCGGATCGCAATTCTCCTTGGTTAACGTTACTTCTTCGCCAATACGTCGTTTCTCACTGTAGATTTTACTCCATCCGATCAAGAAGAGCCCAATAAGTGTAACAACCCAGTTCTCTGTTTGTGTGTATATATATATATATATATTTTTTATTCACAAGGAGTTTAAAGGATTTGCGGCGACGAGAGGTGATGCACAGAGAGGAGGAAAGATGGTTGCTTCGATCCGACGAATATTCCGATCACCACCTATAGTCTTGTTGAGCCCGAAGATTGATGTTGGCTTGGAGAGTTCACTGTTCACGAATGCTACATCGTCATGCTCGCCGAATTCGTTGAACATATTGTTTCATCCCAATCGACACTCTCAAAATCCGGCGTGACGGCAATTTGGTTTTCATTACCATCTTCAACCCTCACTCTCCGGAGTTGACTAACCACCATCGACCCTAGGTATATTAGTTGGTGAGCACTGGTGTTGTTGGCGGTGACAGAGAAGGTTGCAGTAGCCACTTAGGGTTTCGGCATTTGTTGTTGACTACTTAGGGCTTTCAATTGCAATGGTCACTTTGGTGTTTGAGGATTTGCAAATCGTTGATCAGCGATTCAGGGTGATCGATGATCATCGATTTAGGGTGTTTTGCATTAGTGGGAGTTTTCAATGGGTTGCAGGGAATAGATGTTGAAATGATGAATAACGTGTTTTGGTGGTATAGATTACATGAGATTTTTTTTTTTAGGTAATCAAGGTGTCCAATCGATTATTAATGGAAAGGAGGTGGCCGACGTACTTTGGAGTGGTCATGTTTGGTGTTGTACATGGGGCTATAGTGGTTGTGGTGGTGTGCCACCAGTGGTCATGTTTGGTGTTTGACATGGGGTGCTATGCTGATGGCGGTTGTGGTGGTGTGCTGCTAGTGGAGATGGCAACCACTCTCTTCTTCTTCCCTTCCTCTCACCCTATGCTCTTTCTGTATATCTGTGTATATATATATATAAAAGGAGGGGATGATATATATAATTAAATGTATATAATATATATATCTGATAGGTAGTTTGGTAATTTAAAATTAGTGAGAAGGTTAAATCGGTAATTTTAATATTCTAATGGTTTAATTGACAAGTCAAAGGGCATTTTAGTCATTTGATAAATGTCAGAGTGTTTAGGTGTGCCTTTGTCAAAGTCAACAAACTTGAAGGGGTGTCATTGTTCAAAAAATGGTTATCTTTCATCTACCTGTTAATAGGATAAACCTCAGGGGGTGTGAGTGTAATTAACCCTTATTATAATTTATCCTTTGGGTCATAGCAAAACAAAAAACAAAAAAAAAATTATTAGGCAGAAAAAACTCAATCAGTAGAACTAATCCAAAATTTTCCTGATTGGATAGGATTAAACATTCCAATCGAATTTAAATTTCATCAATACGCATAAATTGGATTTAAGTCAAATCGATTCGAAGATTTGGTCACCCTAATTATAATTTTATCAGTTAAGTATGGGATTAATAAATAAAAAAAAACTTAATGATTAGCAATATGCAGTGATTTAGCGTTACGAGAACCTTAACAATTTTCCAAAAATAAGTTAGGATTCGAGCCTCCATGCAATCATCAACACATTCAACAAACCAAAACTGTAGCTCCCTATCATTTCATTAGTATCAAAGCAGACCTTTGACCTAATAGAACTTTCAAATCCACTTGTTTACCATCTAAAGAAGCAGAAAGAGAAAATGGCATAATAATTTGAAATTGTTGCATAAACTCTCTAGCCAAAAAAAAAAACACAGTGTGATTCACCAACTACACGGTTCTTAATTAATATATGTATTTATTCATAATTCCTATATATCAAAGTATGGGTATGGGTGAGTTGAATTGCAAGGACTCAATAAGATCAGCAGAATCTGGAAAACTGAGAGGAGGCAAAGAGAAGTGACTATAAGTAGAGCTTCCTCTTCTAATTTCTTGCATGGTGAGTAGAGCTGCAACTGTATTCCTGAAGATTCCTTGTCTGACCACTGTCATTGCTTCTCTATCACCTTGGATCTTAATATCTTCGTCGTCAACGCCGAACACAACATCCATGGTGCTTTCACATTCTTTGACAAGCTTTGAAATCAGATCGGTAGTAAAGAATGGCTGCTCCAACACCTTCTGAATGAAGGGCAAGCGTAACAGCCCTCCCGTTCGCTTGTCATACTTCTTCAAGATCTTAGCCAACCCTAAAAATCCAAGACTTAATCTGATTTTTCATTCACTAACAAAACAACAAAATAATTTATTTTACTTCCAATTAAGCTTGTCGACTCTGACTACTTTTAGCCTCGATTAAAAATATATATATACCTACCTGTGTAATTAATGTTGCTATAGTTCACTAGGAGCACCATTTCACCGTGAAAATCGACGATTATTTTTCTGATCCTTCCCATCTCCTCTCTATAATCCGTCTCTGATGGCTGACTGCTATTTGGCTCCAATTTCTCAATCACTCTCTGGATCCTCTGTTGTATTTCCTGCATTATTTTATTAAATTAAATCTTTTTTAGCAGTGTAAATAATAATAATAATACTTATGCAGGATGTCTTTTGTGGAGAAATATGTTGATGATCTTTAGCACCCGACCAAACACACACATCTACTGCAAAGACCTTGCAAACGTTTTTGGTATTATTTCTTTTGTTCTAGTTTTAAAATTTTTTTAAAAGAAAATTATAAATTTTTTGAAACCCTTTGCTTTTAGACTGTGATCATTTTTTACCGACTTTAAAATTTTTAATTTGAGTCCCTCATATTCTGTTATAGGAAACCTTAGAAGCATTGAAAGGATCGGGCACTTCACATTGTGACTTGTATGGTTTTAAACTTTTAATTCTAAGCACAACCTTAAAAAATGTGTGACATTTTACAGGTCAAACAAAAGTGTTACTATAATGCTTATTGGAGGCTTCTTTGTTTGTACAAACATTTGCTGACTTCCTCCTCACACCATTGAGAGGTTTTTGTTTGGGTAACTAAGCTTTGAGAGGTTGTTTTATTGTAGTAACGTATAACTTTACTTGAAATTCTTGCTGAACATTGTTGTAATTAAAGTTACTCTTGTTTTCAAATAGTTTTGAAATTCCAAATTATTCCCTATGCTAAAATAATTCTCCAATTCTGAATTTGTTCATAAATTCGATAGCAACTTAATTGTCATCTTCGATAGCAACTTAATTGTCATCTATCTACACGTAAATAAAAATCCAAGACCATATGCTATCCTATTTCTTATCTATAATTATGGAATTATGAATTTGTTCCTTTTTTATTTTTTTGCGTGTCTAATTCGTTAACACATTCCTCACCTTTTATTTAACACCGCACACTTGTCTTCTTATTATCCAATTCAATCACAACGCTAAAATGATTCTCAAAACCTGAATTTGTTCTTTTATTCGTATATTCAGTAACAACTTAATTGTGATTTGAACAATTTTCACACAAATAAAAACTTAAGATCATGTATGGCTTGAAATGGAGCAGAATCATATGAATTCAGATTCACATCCATAATTTTATGTCATGATTTATATTCAAATCGGATCCTATTAACATAATCCATATTGGATCCTGTTGACATGATCCGTATACACGACCTATGTGATTTGAATCGGATCTCAAATAAAACCCAATTCTTTTCAATTTTCAAACAACTCACAAATCCAAAATTTGCTACTTATTTTGTTTCTTACATTGGACTTCGAGTAGGGCCCACATTTCTTGGTACTTCCAAGTCATTTTTGACAAGGTGTAAAACAAATACTCGTATTACTTACCCAACCAACAATTCTAGTCCAAACGTGAGTGAGTAATGATGATGGTATATAAGTAGTTGGCTAAGAGTAAACCAAACCTTATTTGCTCAATTAGTAATTTAGTATCCTTTTTGCCCATTGGATATATAACTTAATAACATTTTAAAAAAAAAAAAACAAGAATAATTAGAAGTCACCTTATGCCGGATAACGAAATCCTCTTCTTTCTCCATGAAAAAAGCATTAAATTTCTCAATCTCACTGTTCAACAAGTAAACAAACTCTGCCTCCGCCTTCCCAAAGTCCGGTGATCCGTTCAACGTCTGTGGAGCCGACGAAATTAGCCGAACAAGCTTCTTCAAATCCTTGTAGGACAAAAATTTGTCACCCCACCCGGGCAAGGTCTCTTGAATTTGTTGCTTCAACCTCTTTCCGAATTTCATTGTTCCCTAATTTTGAACTCAAATTGACAATAGTTAGACACTCATAAAACCAAGGCCATGATTTGAGAGAGAGAGAGAGAGAGTGTGTGTGTTTGTGTGTGTGTGTGTGTGTAAAAATGAAGAGAGAGTAAAATGAGTTGGGGGTGGTTTTAGTAGGGAAAGGATGGAATATTTTGAGAGCATATGCTTGGCGTGAGGGAGTGGCAGTTAAGAGAAAAGCATGAAAGAGCCGTTGAAGTAAGAGAATTCCCAGCATATTCGGTTACTATTGTCTCATTTTAGTCGTACTCGAGACCGAAGCTACCAAATGACTTTTCTATTGTAGTAGTTAATGGGGGAAAGTGGGTGGAATGGGGGCTATGTTGACATGTTGGTGAGAGACTAGGGGGCATTGGATGAATGGGTCCCATACACGTGTCATTGCCTTGATGGGGTGTGTTTGAGATTTGCATGTCATGATAGTCATGAATGGGATGATTCTTTGGAATCTCCTACGAATCTCCTCTTCTAAAATTGAAATAATATATAAATATGAGCTGGGGAGAGGCATTGGAAGAAACCAATTAAGGGAATATGTGATTTTTCAACTTTTAGGCAGCTCTATTGTTCCCCAGTAGAACCCAACCAGCTCATCAATGTGTGACCTTGTGTGTTGTGTTGACTCATTTTGTTGCCCAATTAAATGGAAATTTGAATATTTCACTGTAGGTGGAGTGATCTCTAGGTTTACTCGGTTTCGTAAAATTCACTCATTTTAAGAAAATAAAAATCTCCGATTTATAAGGCTTATATCCTAAAATGTGCAGTGCATGACAAGAGAGAATCCAAGTTCTTAGAATGAATGACTAAGATAATGTTGTCGTCTTTGGTTTAGTTAGAGGAGTCTCATTGTGTTAGGAAATTAAAAAAATGATTCTTAAACGCGTTTTTTTAATAATTTTTTTTTGTTTGACTTAGATGGGTTGAACCTAATGCAACCTCAAAAATGTCGAAGTTCAACACAGAATACTGATGATGAGTTAATCTAAAGAGATTCAGACACACATTTGGGAGATGATTTCTTCTTATGAAGTTTACATATGTAACTATTTTTACATATACTAAAAAGAATAAGAAAAATATATGAATAAAGAGCAACGATACACATCACCAATTTATTCCGTGATTTTGTATCCGGTATCCAAAAATGACAACTTTTTTTTTTTTTTTTTTTGTGGTATCCTTTAGAATTCGTCCATCTTCATTTTTCTTAACAAAATAACTAACCATGTAGTATTACATGATATTAGTTATTCCTCACGAGATATGAAACTATTCTTTACCACTGGATAAAAAATTAAATAGTTAGGTTATATATTCAAAAAATAATAATAATAATAATAATAATTTCCAGTTATGTTACTACAATTGCACTATTAATTTATGAATTCATTTTTCTTCTAGTAAAATGATAAAGGCAGTGTAAAATTTCTAAGAAAACTAGTAAGTGATATATATATATATATAAGTTGCCTATGTTTCTTTACGTACATCGTCGGTCTCATGACAGAGAAAGAGGATTGCGTTAGTTAGATGCATGAGAGTCGGATGTAATGCGTTTTAGCTAACTATTTTACCAAACATGACTATTTCCATAGCTTAAAAAAAACATGACCACTTCCGTACAGAATATAAAATGGTTAAAGAAAATAATATTTGAAGAATAAACCATATATGATGCTCTTGGACTAATCATTGCACTGGATGATCTGTGCTGGCAAACACTCTTCAGATCCGCTTTACGCATTATTCAAAAATTACATAGAACACACCCACAAATACATATATATATACTCCTGCGTGTGTGTACACACACACATATATATAGAGAGAGAGAGAGAGAGAGCCAGGCCAATTATAAGGTCTCAACAGCTAGCAAAAGTATATCGATCAGCGAGATCAAAATGTGCCATTTTTTGCTGCATTTCTAAACTAATAATCTTTTAAGAAGAGCTCTAAATTTTCATACTGCTTCAGCATATATTCCCAACTTTAATTATCTCACACTGCTTTTTCATGATAACTGATGCGTGTGTGTGTGCGTGTGTGTGTATACACAAATGCTAAACTCACATAGCCAACTCTATCTTAAAGTACTGTAATTATGCCACCTTTAGCCATTCACAAATGTGTCTATTACCCACTCTTTATCATTTCATGTCTTCCCACTCGTACATCCCTATTCCATTCATACTGGCTATAGTCAACATATATATAAGCTTGTTTCTTGACTACTTAACATTATATCATGTATAATTGTCCTCCCAAAAAGCAGGGAGTGGGGTATGCTAATACCGACAAAATAATTTTTTTTTAAACAAATCGAAAATATAATAACGTATTAACAGTACATTAGAATAAGTGGAAAAAAAAAAAAGAAAAAAAAAAAGGGCTATAGTACATAAATTATGCATGAGTGCAAGAAAAAAGAAGTTTTTAAAAAGAAAATGAAATAAAAAGAAAAAAATAAGAGAGAATTAATTTTGAAGGAAAAAATAGGTTTTAATTGTAAAAAGATAATGCAAAAGTTGTAAAAGATTTTGAAGATGACAAAAAAGAAATTTGAAGAATAAAAAGAAAAATAAATAAAGAATTAAAGACGTTTTAGAAATAGATAATTTTATGGAGTATAATTTATAAATTTTATGGAATATTTTATAAATATTTATAAATTATATGCATAAAATAAAATATAATAAAATTTAGTGGATTCAAGAATAGATGGACCATTTTATTAATTTTTTTTAAAGAGATATTTTATCACATGTATATAGAGGGAGAGAGAGAAAAAAAAAAATATATATATATATATATATATATATATATATATTTATAAATTATATGCATAAAATAAAATATAATAAAATTTAGTGGGTTCAGCAGTAGATGGAACATTTTATTAATTTTTTTAAAAGGGATATTTTATCAAATGTAGAGAGAGAGAAAGAGAGAGAGAGAGAGAGAAAAAAAAAAAAAAAAAAAAACTAGTGGGCCAGCAAGGGGCAGTTGCCCCACCCCTGCTTGTGGTGGGTAGGAACTTCTCAGCAGTCGGAGTTGTGCTTTCATGTATGTTATGATCGGAGGATTCGTCGTGGGTTGGTGGTCGGAGGAGTTGAAGCTGGCATTCCGAAAGCAGAACTCGGCAAAGTTGTCGGCGCGTGAATTAATGCGGTGAGAAGCGAAGTCTACCAGGGAGAGTTATGGTCGGCGATTGCGTGGAAAGAGAAAGTTGGGAACTTGGGAGGAGAGAGAAGACGATATTGATATGTAAGGGCTACTGCCGAAAAATATGACATGGCAACTTATAAGTGGCCGGAACCATAAATGAGGTGGTGAATACCGGATCACCTAATACTTTCTCCTACGGTTCCTAATAGGACCAGCCAGCTCATCAATTTGGGACCTTATGTGTTGTGTTGGCTCATTTTGTTGACCAATTAAATGGAAATTTAGATATTTCCCATGTGGAGTGATTTTTAGGTCCACTCAGCCTCGTGAAATTTACTATGTTTAAGGAAAAAAAAATCTCCAACTTCTAAAGACTTATACTCTAAATTGTACGTGCATGACACGAGAGAGAACCTAAATCCTAAAAATAAATGACTGAAATAATGTTATTATCTTTGGTTTGGTTGAAGGAGTCCGAAATTCAAAAAAATAATTCTTAAAGGCATTTTTTTAATATTTTATTATTATTATTTGACTTAGATGGGTTGACCCTAATGCAACCTAAAAAATGCAAAGTTCAACACAAAATACTGGTGATAAACTTTTCCAAAGAAATTCAGACAGATGGAAGGATCTCTTCTTAGGGAGTTTACATATGTAACCATTTTTTCTATAAAAAATGCAAAATTAAGATGGGTGTTAGACTATGTGTGGACCAAAACTTTCTATAAAACCACATCAATTAGAAACTTGTATTTGATAGTATAATATTTAAAATGGGTAGATATAAAATTAAAAGCTATAAAATGAATAATTCCTCACTGATCTCAAATTTAAAAAATTTTGATTGCCAAAGAATGAATAATGAAATGGAGAACAATTCATTGGCACTGAGCAGTGAAGAGACACGTGGTGGACTACAGGGCAGTATGGGAAAGAAAAGAACGAAAGTTCACGCAGAGAGGAGAGATTATAGCGTAAGCTTCTGTTCACTGTTGAAACAAACATCGAATAGACACGTGGTAAGATTACAGGGGTACTACGGGGAAAAAGAAATAACAAGGACATTTTAGTAAAAAAAAAGGGTTGAAGGCAAAATAGGGTTTGGATAATTCCTTAATATGTGTGCGTAATCTGCCATGTTAATCTTCTTGTATTAATTTTATAGCACGCAGCTACGGTCTGCTGAAGTTTATATATATAAACTCTCAAATTTTATGTTTCCAACCAATGTGGGACTTTATTTTTTTTTTTAATACTCACACACACGTGTCTTTACTGAGATTTGAACTCCGACCTCTCTTTGGGAAGTAGGAGTCTTGGTACCGCTAGACCACAAACTTGTTGGTAATACTCTTTTTTTAATATGTTTACATCTATTAACACTGCAAGGATAGTTTTGGATCAATAATCACTTGAAAATTTGAATTCCTGGGAATGGAATATTGTAAATTTCTTGTTATACCTTAAAAAAAAAAATTCAAAATATAATGTTCTTGTTATATAAAATATAAATTTATTATTATATATAATTTTGTGTAAATAGTGTAGTTTTCAGTTCATCTCTTCTAAACACCTTCAATAATAGAGGCCAAATTGGTGATGACCATTTTCGAATTCCTGGGAATGGAATATTGTAAATTTCTCGTTATACCTTAAAAAAAAAAATTCAAAATATAATGTTCTTGTGATATAAAATATAAATTTATTATTATATATAATTTTGTGTAAATAGTGTAGTATTCAGTTCATCTCTTCTAAACACCTTCAATAATGGAGGCCAAATTGGTGATGACCATTTATTTTATAATATTACATATATATAACATAGTTTCTCCGTAGCACTAACGCGATCTCATCTCAGTTAAATTTTCACAAATCAGTGTTTCCAATCTCTACATTTTTCAGGTCGAGAATATCCTTTTGTTTATAGAGCAACTTAGTGCCTATCTAAATTGTGTTTGGTCATAAAGAAAATAGTTTTTGACTACAGGGATCTAGGTTCCACTAAACCTTTGGCTGAATTTCAACCCTGATACTTTTCTTTAATGTGTTCGTGATGAGAAGAAGGATCTTAAATGTGTGTTTGTGAGAAGAAATAAAACAATGAAAAAGAAAATTTATTTTTGGGAGACCAAAAGAGCTTTAAATACTGATAAAACTTGAAACATTCTATCCAAAAAAATAGTTCACTTTTTTTTTTTGTCCCTGCTCTAATGTGCTAGCCTATGGCCATACTTGTCAAAAAAAAGGATCCTCTTTTCGCCCTCAAGTTGATGAATGGCCTGGAGGGTTTCCAGGAACATGTTTTTTATTTCAAACGAACTTGTTAAATTTCAAATTGGAGAATTATAGGTGCATGACTAAATTTTTTATAAATATGTTCAGAAATTTGGAAAGAAAAGCAAATTAAAAGATATAAGCACTTACAAAAATTCAATTAAATATACTCAATAAATCTAATTTGAAACTTGTTTGCATGAATAACAAATTTTAACACAAAAATAAAAAGTATATAAACCCTTCGTCAATTTTTTTGCAGTCTCTTATGTATGGCTTTCACCATTAATAGCTCCATAAACCTACCGATTATTGAATCATTCTCCAGGAGGCTCTTTGATTTTGCAGATTCTGTAGTTATGTCTTTCAATAGGTTGTGCCTTCTAAATTCCATCTTCACTGAATGACAATGGATTCAAGACCTTCACTAGTGATTATGAAGGGTGGCAAAGCAAATTGTCAACCATCAAAATCTTCTTCAAAAAAATCCACATCCCTAGGTGGACTCCGAAGCTTTTCTTGGAGTTCCAATTGCTTTGGTAGAACAAGTTCGGTACCTTCACCGGACACGGAAAAGTATCTTTCCAGCACAATCTGTAACCAGAATAATGGAAAAGAATTGTAAGGGGATCATACTTCAATACCTTGACCATCCCTATTCATTTTATGTTTACATTTCACAAACTGAATAAGCAGGGGATGCATAGACAATACAGAGGAATGCAAGCATGAACAAAAAAGGGGGAGTAAATGGTGCTAGCCTTTATATGAGAAACACTGGAAGCCAAGGAAGAAAAGGAAATAGTAACAAACATTAGTACTCGTAATAGAACTCATTCCGTACCATGGCAGCGTAGGCATCAATTTTCCCTTGACGAGCAGACTTGCTGAGGCCCCTGAAGAATTTTAGATAATATAATTTATATATTAGCACATATAAGTTCCTTTATGGGACCATTTTACAATCTTTGAAATCAATATGCTTAAATCCTATGCCATCAGGTAGCATACCTTGTTTTTCTTTTGGTAAGTAACTAGCATATTTCTTCTATTTTGTCATTGGAGGGTTCAATCCAAAGTACTTTAATTCCAACAAAGATATTATAGCACAGAAGTATTATTCAATAAATACAACCAGCGGGAAGAAATAATATGCACGCGCACTTTTGATTGTTCTTTACTAATGGTCAGTAATATGCTTCAAATGGAAGCCATTTTCATTTCATTGATGCCATCATGTTCATTTGATTGGTGAGAAGTGGGAAAAGATAATATAGAAAGCGTCCAAACCAACCCGACAAAGCTCTCATATTCTTCCTCCATGTCTTCTCTGCAATCAGATGGTTTATTAAAGAATCATTATGCAATTAAAGCTCTTCTACTTGAGCTCAATTTAGTCTTTAAAATGCTTCAAAAACTAGGCAGAACAAAAGAAAAAGGTCTGGGTGTTTGGACATTAATTAAAGGTTGGAAACGTAATTGTCCTATTGTATTTAACACAAGACAGAGAAACGACCTCTTGTTTTTCAGCGACATCATCTAATGAGTCTGATTTTCTCTTCGGTCAAAAATGATCTCCATTGCTATTTAATTTTTGGTGAGCATGGAGATGTCTCTATATTATTGACTCTACTTTTATTCAAACTTCAGTAAAAGTAGAATGGACTGCTTTAAAAACCATGGGTCGTGAAAATATCCACTTAATGATTTAAGCTGTTTAGGAACAAAGAACAAGTTGAGGACGATCAATTTTTTTGCAGAAGGAACAATATATCAAACATAATTATAATAATGAATGCTCATTTTCTAATCTATGGGAAAAAAATAAAATAAAATAAAATAAAATACTTGCATATCAATCATGATGCTCATGGCCTCAGTTGATGTCCCATGTTCATCCTGTAGGTATACTCTCCAACCCCTGTTTTCATAAACTGATATCAGTAATCCATATAGTAAGGTTTCCAGATATTTCGCTAAAAAATCAGAGCATTACACACACGCAAGACAATAATAGACATAATGAAAATGAGTGCCAAGCGTATCAAATAACCTTTTCACGTGCGGTCCCTTACAAAACAGATAATAAACGTATGAAAATAAACATACAAAAACAAATATTAAATATGAAAGGCAACTAAAAATATTAATCCTTAACCATATAAAGGTACAAGAGCGACTCAATATAGTTTGGCAGGCAAATACTTTCTCCAACAGATTAAGAACATCTGGTTTGAAAATAACACAATTCAAGCAGTTTAAGTTAGTTTCTTTAGATGAATTACTTGATCTTGCATGCCTAAATGATTGTTGACATTGTTTTGGCATGCTTTTAGCCATTTTGCACGCAAATGACTTCTGAGAATGGGCTTCAGCCGCTTAAACCCATAGGGAGAATTGTTTTGATAAATTTGGCGGGCGTAGTCAGTTTGTAATTTAGGCAAGGAGTTCACAGAAAATACGAATCCTATGCCTCTTCGAGCAGGGATTATGAACCATCTTGTAAACTTCTGCAAATTACTCAATGAAAATTAGACTACATAATTTAGACAAATAGCATGTCTTAAGGAGTGCTAAACCATAGAAAAACAGAATTATCTTTTTTGGTCCAACTCAAGTTGCATCCTTAATATATTTACATCCAGCCTTTATCAACACAAGTGTTTACCATAATGCTTGCAGAAATAGCATATGCAATTTACAACTTAAGAATAAACTTTATTAAAGAATAAAGTGTATACGTTGAAGACCACCAATCAAATCATCAAAATGATATCATGTTTCTTTCAAATTATCGATTTTACTAAATTAACTTAGATTCAATAACCTATGCAAATAATATACTTCCAACTTTCCAGGAGGATTGGAAACCCTAACCGAATGTTACCCAATTTGCAAAATACTTGGAAAGTACTGGGTGAAAATCATAATGGAAGAATAGCCAGATTTATGACATGCAAGAATAACAGTAATTATATTCATAACCATTCACTTGTGATAGCGAAAAAAAGAAAAGAAAAAAGAAACAAGGAACACTCATAAAAAAAAAAAATGTATGAATTGTATATACATAATGTACTATTTACGAAAAAAAAAAAAAAACTACCTCTCTGCAGCTCGAACAGCAAGTCTTCCTGCAATGCTACGAACTTTGTTGGACTGGGGTGTCTCCGCACCATCATGAGACTTCGGAAGCCCAATTATAAACTCATCAACCTCCTAAATTTCCAGGAATCATTTTCATCAAACAACAAGAAAATATATCAATATATAAGTAACCAAAAAACAATAATAAAAAATTCAAACTTCAAACAAATATATATATATTTTTTTTCCGGTAATTAAAACTTCAAATTTAATTAAAAATTAACCATCTTTAAGTAACAATTCACAAAATTCACATCAACTACACATACCTAAAGACGCACATTATAATTATATGTGCATGTGTGTCCATATATAACGTGTGTGTATATATTGAGAGAGAACGTTTTATACCTGTCGTTCCGCAATTTCAAGAAGGCGAAGCTCGAGCTTCTGACCTCGCAGCTCCAAAACCTACAGCACCAGCACAAAAGGAACCCTAAAAGTTAAGAGAGAAAATGAGGAGAGAGAGAACGAGGGGGTGGAGTCAATAATATTACGGTTAGGGGACGGATTGAGAAGCCTTTGCTAAGGGCGAGGCCGGTGCGAGACATTCCCAAGTCTAGCCCTAGACTGAACCCTCCACGCCAACTGGGGTCACACTTCCGGCGAAGGGCATTGGGGGGAATTTCATCCAAGGACACTGCACTTAATTTATGACCCTGGCACATACGAGTTGTTGTGGGTAAGGGCACAGAATTTGGGACACTACGAAATAAGGTATGGGTATAATATGGTAAGGTTAATGGAATCAACTGCAGTGCCATTTCAAGAACCGTCTCCCCCAATACATTTCCTCTTGTTGGGAAGATGAGAAGGGGAAGCATCTTCGAGTGGTACTCCTATGACCTAACGGCACCGTTTTGAAATATGATTTTATTTGTCCCCAAAAAGGACTTAAATTGATAATCATTAGTTTATCCTCAAATCATTAGTCATTCTTAACCTTGAATGTGCCTGTCTTCAAGTCCTTCTCTCATTAGTGGTGTTGGCAGGGATCGGAAGGTAAATTTTTGATAACTTACTTTTAGACTGTATCCTAGATTTGAATGACACACTTTAAAATCGCACATCTGACTTAAATGGTAAGTGTATTAAGAAAAACTTAAAAAGTCTAAAAACCAATAGAGACTCCTTAAACTTTGAGAGTTGTTTGACCAAACTTTTTATATTATAACGTCCAACCTAAGTTATTGAGTTTGCTTTCGGGTTGTGTAACAAAACACTAACATGCACAATACAACAAAGTGAGTATTTAGCAATAAGATAAATTATATTAATCTCCTCTATGATTTGTCATAATTACAAATTTTTCTTGTGATTTGAAAATTTATTCGAATCGCTTCTGAAATTAAAAATACCCTAGGCGGACTTCCCTCCTAGCAACGAAGAGTCAAATGCACTAACTAATCTCTTTAATTTACTGAAATATCCTGGGTTACTATGATATATTATCAAATGCCCATTCTCTTAATATATATATATATATATTTATTTATGTATTTATTTATTTATCTCTCCTCTCTCTCTTTCTTTTTCTAACATCTCTGGTGAAGTGGAAATGGAGAGCGAAAAAACAAGAAGTGGTGAACGGTGGATCCGAGAAAGGCGAACGAGATCGGAGAGGGAAAAAAGCAAGTGTCGCCGGAGCTGGATCCGCGCAAGAAGTGTTACTTGAGTGGTGAATGATAAAATCGTGTTAATGAAGATAGATGGTTTAGAACAGAGAATTTGGTGAGAGATGCACGCGTGATCGGTCGACGGCAAGGACTCGAGCTCAAACGCGGCAGCAGATTGGGTGTCACGGTCAGAGAGTTCATATTCGGTTGGGTCTGTTCTGAAGCTCACTAGTTGGGTACTGTTGTTTTTCCAGTTTGGGTCTCGGTTGGGTCGTCGTTAGTTAAGAGTTTCTCGTCGATTTGGTCACAGTAGTTGGGTCGTCTCTCAGAGATTCTGGTCATCAGTGGAGTTCCAGTTCGGTTCTCTGTTCACTGGAATCAATGGAGGTTTCTATTTGGAGCTTTCAACGGTGCCATTGTTTTAACTTCTTTTTTCGCCTGATCTTCTCTAAAGCTTTTCGATGCAGGAGCTTTTCACTTTGTGGTTGATCTCACTGTTTGAAGACGCTTGAAGCTTTTCCGATTTGGGTCTAACTGAAGTCTCAGTGTCTGGTTTGTCGCTGTTGTTAATGTTCTCTCTCTGTGTTGGACTCTCTTGATTAGTTCTCAATGCTCAAGCTTCTCGGTTGGTCTTCAATGGAGTTTTCGCATAATTGAAACCCAGAGAAAAAATTGTGGTATTCAATCCTCTGACCACTTGACCCTCTTCAATTGTTTGATTATGAGTGGGAAAAATATAAACCTACCCTACCCTCGATAAGATTGATTAAATTTCATTATCAAGATAATGAAATTTAATCTGACGGTGATTTAACAAGTAAGAATAATCCTATTATAACTAGAGAAGGTCAAAAGGATTAAATTATGTCCCGACAAATTTGGTATTTCGCACAAGCGGAAGATAAGGTCAACCATCGATATCAGCGGAACGATTTTGATTCTAATCAACAGCCATAAATAGGGCATCAAGCCATTAAATAAGGTACGACGTAAAAACTATGATTAATCCCTATCTTCTTTTTAGACCTCCGTGACTAATTTGATCGTCGGAGAGCTCTTGGCAGGCACCACACCGGTGCCGTCAAGGTTCATCGATCTTCTCCTCTCTTCCTTGCAGGAAAACGGTATTGTATCGGATTGCGCGAATTTCAGCCTCAACAGTTGGCGCCGTCTGTGGGAATCACGATTCCCTTGAATCAATTAATTACTCGTTGGGTATATACGTTTGCAGTCCGGTATGGTTACCAAAGGAACACCGTCACAGGGATCTGGTCAAAGGGTAGAGTCGGGTGAAAACCTGGACGTCCCAAACGACCAGGCACGGCTTGCAGCGTTGGAACTACAGGTTCAAACTCTGAGTCAGGGTATGAACCAATTGATCCAGCAAAATGCAACGTTCTTGCAACACCTTGTTCCACCGGCTCAACAAAACTTTCCAAGACAAGATCTCTCAAGTCCAAACGGAGGTAATGAAAATCTTGAAGAGAGGGATAATCATTCCCCCCAAAATGAGACTGAAGTGGAACAAAGCCAGGTGGGAACCCGACACAGAGAGGTGGTTCACCTATCTCTCCTACGGAGTTCCCGACCTCCTGAAAGCATAGCCTTCTGTCTTAAGGAAAAGACAAAGAAAGTTACCCATCTCGACTTGTAGATCAAGGATCTCAAGGGGAAAATGGAAGATGTAATGCAGGCTATGAAAGAGAAAGGTCCTGCCGCTGTAGATGACCTGGTACAAAGGACCAACTTGCCTTTTAGTCCCGCCGTTATGAAATGTCCACTACCTAACAAGTTCAGAATGCCCTTGTTGGAAAGCTTTGATGGGACCAAAGATCCCCTCGATCACCTGGAAACTTTTCAAGCTCTTATGCATTTACACGTTGTGCCAGATGAAATCATGTGCCGAGCTTTTCCCACTACACTTAAGGGATCAGCGAGAGTTTGGTTCAACAAGTTGAAGCCAGGAATCATCAACACCTTCGAAGAATTGAGTAAGCAGTTTGTGAGCCACTTCATTGCAGGTCAGAGGCATAGGAGGCCAGCTACCTACCTGTTTACCGTGGAGCAACAAAAGGAAGAGTCGATTCGGGAATACATCACCCGATTCAACGCAGAGATGTTGCAGATAAAAGAGGCGGACGACAAGATAGCTTTGACCGCTTTCATAGGAGGACTCCAAACCTCCAGATTCTTGTTCTCCTTATCAAAAGAACCTCCCACCAGCATGATAGAGTTGCTAGTCAGAGCGCAAAAACACATCAACGCTGAAGACACCATGAGTGCACGGAAGGAAGGAGAGGACAAGAAGAGGCCAGCCCCTCTCGCCAGGGATAAAAATAATACCAAATATAAGAAATCGTTCTTCAGCCAGAGTGACAGCACATATCATGAGAATGACTCAGATGAGTATACCGACTAGAAATTGGCTCGCGGCTAGAATTAGCCTTATCAAGTCATTCACAATAAAGACTGGGGGCATCTTAGTTAATCATTTTAAATGGAGGGTAGCTCCATCACGTGTTATTTTGTTTTTAATAATGATGGTCTTTAATAAAATTCCTTTTAGTTTATACGTGCAGTATCCCCGTACTATAAGGGGTAGTAAATGAGTGTCCTTTATTACAAGGATCCGGGCTGAATGAATCCCGTAATCCGTATCCCCGTACTATAAGGGGATAGTGAGTGTCCTGTATTATAAGGACCCGGGCTGAATAAATCCCGTAATCCGTATCCCCGTACTAAAAGGGGATAGTAAATGAGTGTCCTATATTACAAGGACCCGGGCTGAATGAATCCCGTAATCCGTATCCCCGTACTATAAGGGAATAGTAAATGAGTGTCCTGTATTACAAGGACCCGGGTTGAATGAATCCCGTCATCCATATCCCTAGACTATAGGGAATAAGTATCTTGTATTATCAGGACCCGGTTTGAATGAATCCCGTAATTCATATCCCTGTAATATAAGGATAATAAATGAATGTCCTGTACTACAAAGACCTGGATTGGATGAATCCCATAATTAATATTCCCTTACAATAAGGGATAGTAAATAAAAATCCTTTATTAAAGAGGTGAGCTGAGTAAAACTCGTAAAGTTCAAATTCCCTTATTAAGGAGTAAAACTCGTATAATTTATTCACTTATAAAAGGAAGAGTATTGTTCCCTCGGGTGCCAAAAAAAAAAAAAAAAAACATCCTGAGTTACTATTCACATGAATAGTGCCCGCGGGTACTGTTCACAGGGGTATTAAAAATTTTAAAAAAAAAAAAAAAATTCTAAGTTACTATTTACGTGAATAGTACCCGCGGGTACTATTCACCGGGGTTGCAAAAAAAAAAAAAAAAGAAGAAAAAGTATTATTATTATTTATTACATTCCCAAAGCTAGACGTGCAAGCTTGGGAATGGGGGGCAACTGATAGGGAAAAATATAAACCTACCCTACCCTCGATAAGATTGATTAGATTTCATTATCAAGATAATGAAATCAAATCTGACGTGATTCAACAAGTAAGAATAATCCTACTATAACTAGAGGAGGTCAAAAAGAATTAAATCATATCCCGACAAATCTGGTAATAAATCTCCTATGATTTCGCACAAGCGGAAGATAAGGTCAACCATCGATATCAGCGGAACGATTTTGATTCCAATCGACAGCCATAAATAGGGCATCAAGCCATTAAAGAAGGGACAACGTAAAAACAATGATTAATCCCTGCCTTCTTTTTAGACCTCCGTGACTAATTTGATCGTCGGAGAGCTCTTGGCAGGCACCACACCGGTGCCGTCAAGGTTCATCGGTCTTCTCCTCTCTTCCTTGCAGGAAAACGGTATCGTATCGGATTGCACGAATTTCAGCCTCAACAGATTCCAAAACAAAGCATCCAACGATTAGCCCAATTTGTTTGATTGCCACAGTTGTGAGAAAAAATTATGGGATTGAATCCTCTACTCTTTAATTTGATGAGTAAAAACACATTGGATGGGATCGAATCCCCCACTATCGTCTCCAATGGATGCAAACCCACTTTGAATCAAATCCCCAAATCTAATAATCAATGCCAATGGTGGCCATCAGAGAATTTTTCTCCCATATTAAAATGATGCAAATTTTATATCAATTGGTGAGGATAAGCGGGGTGGCAATTCGTGTTGGCGTGTCGTGTTTGTGTCAACACGATTACGACACGGACACGATTAGGTTGACACGAACACGATACGATTATTAATCGTGTCTAAGACCCTTGATACGAACACGACACGATTATTATATGTGTAACACAACACGACACGCATAACCTATTTAATAAATGGGTCAAGATTTGACACGACAAGAAAAGACACATTTAAGTCATTTTCGACACGAATACGACATATTTTGCTAAATGGGTCATTTTTTACACGAACATAACACGTTTATCTGACACGTTTAGTAAATCGGGTTAATCGTGTCATAATCATGTTTACAGGGTTAAACACGAACACGATACGTTTAGTTAGCGGGTCAATCCGTGTTGACACGATTATAACACGAATACGATTAACCCAAACCCTAACTCGCTTATCTTGTGTCGTGTTAGCGTGTCGTGTCAAATATTGCCACCCCTAATTATAAGGGTATTATGAAATTTTTTATAAATTTTGTACATGACTTCAACACATTTCGCCATTGATCGACAGAAGGGGAGGTTCGTGTAGGATATTTTATTTTTAGAAGAGGCCGAGTAAATTTTCAAACGAAGAAATCCATATAATTATGGCAAATCATGGAGGAGGTTCGTGTAATTTACCCTTTGCAATATTGAAATTTTTTTTAAAGAGTTGAAACTAGTGTAATAAAGACTCAAACAATAATAGAGCCACCCCTATTGATAGAGTAACTAAGGGTGTGTTTGGATGGGAAGATTTGGAAGGACAATGAGAGAAAGAAAAGAGATGATAAAGTGTGAGTGTATTTGAATGGCTTAAATGAAAAGAAAGAGTAGATGGGGAGAGATAGGGAGGGATATCCCTCCCTATTTCTCATTGGATTTCTCTCCAATTTTGAGAATATAGGAAAGAAAGCATAGTGATTTAAGTGATATTTTAATAATACTAAAACTAACCTCCACAAATCAATATACAAATTTATTATTTCATTCAAGTGCTATGCTATGTTTGTGTGTGTCTGCTTTTTTTTTTTTTGGAATTACATGCTATGTTTGTGTTTGATCCACACTCACCAATTGGGTTAGCATGCAGTTTTTTACTTTCTCTTTCCTGCTTATCAACCAAACAACGTTGTGAGTTTCAAAGAAATGAGATATATCACAAACAAATGAGTCTGCATATTTCAAAAAGCCTATAGAAGAGGAGAAATGCTGCTCTTCTAAATCAAAAAAATCTGATAACGAGATAAATGAGATATTCTCTGGAAATTTTCAAAGAAATTATAAATTTGTGATTTTTATTATTAATTTTGATTTTTGTTTCAGCAAGTGGGTTTCAATTAATAGATATATACAGTAGAGGCTGAGCATATGAAGTTTGATCTTACTATTAATGTTAGCTTCCAATTTTAAGATTTGTGCATCCAAGGAAAAGAGACTTAACCACTTACAATTATAAAATGGTATAACAGTAATTTGATTACTATCATTTTATTTCTTTCCTCTATTTTATTCAAACAAAAATGACTATTCTTTCTTTTCTTTTCTCCCATATCTATCCAAACATGAATACAAATTATTATTATCCTTTCTTTTATTTGCTCTCCTAATTAATACTATCATTTTTTTTCTTTTTTTTCTTATGTATCCAAATGCACAGTGCAAAATTCAAATGTAGAAGTCATAATTATTGGTGCAAAAGATAGACGTGACTTTTGGTTCAACCTCAAAAGATATGACTCTTGATTTATGTTCTTAATTTCATGGCATGGACACTGGAAGGAATTGTCGTCGGCTTATGAACGGACATCTTGGGCCAATTTGATTCGATGGAGAGATAAATCAGGGCCTTTTTCATTATGCAAGCAAGATTGGTTGGATTAGTTTTTAGGCATGTATGTTTAAAAATAAATAAATAAAATAAAATAAAGTATGTTAATTACTTATCGTGTTTGGTTGATTAATGAAAAATAAATAAAGAAAAATATAGTAATCATATTTAGGGAACACAAAGTTAAAGAAACTATTTTAATAAATTTTTACCATAGCATTTTCCATAAATTTTGTCTTTTATAAAATTAAGGTCAAATTTTGTATTAATAAAGTTTTTTCATGATTTGTTTGGTAGAAAGGAATTTAGAAGGATGGAGGGAAAATAGGAAGGAATAAAAAATCTTCCTTCGTTCAGTAGAGACAATAAGAGCAAGGATGATAGGAGAGATGAGTCATCCTTTCTCCTTTACAAATTTCATCCCTCCAAATATGGCCACAATAGAGGAAGAAAATAAATGGTGTTATAATGGAAGTTTTGGAATTACAATAATATTCTAAATTATATCACTTTTAAATTACAATATTATCCTATATAAATTACCAAATACAATCTTATAAATAGTAATGGGTATAATGGTAAAACATAATAAATTGTAAACTTGTTTTCTCTTTTATCACAAATCTAACAAAAAGATGGAAGAATACCACGCATAAAAAATGCTAGCATTTTCCTTCCATTTTGGAAATCTCCAAATCCTTCCATTCCATTTCTTTTCCTTTCAAAAATTCTTCACCCATCATTTTCTTTCTTTTTTGTTTCTTTTATTTCTTTCCAACTAAACTGGCCTTAGTAAAAATAGTCACGTTCTTGAAGTTACATTTTATGCTTAGAAGAACTTTTCACGCCAATATATGTATAGAGAGTTGGATTATAGAATCTTTGCTATTTACTCGTGTAGAGAATTATGGGATGTTGTACACTGATGGGGATTCTCATATAAGTTTGTAGCAATATGTAGTTTCGTTGTAAATATCTAAGATATTTTAGAGTGGTGTTTTAAGAAAGATCTCTCGCCAGCCCTTCATTAGTTGAAGAATGTCTATATAAAGGTTAAAAATCTCATTGGTAACCAACCAGCGCTCAATCAAGTAAATTATTAAACAGTTGACACGTGTAGTGCTAAATATCCTTATCAAAAGAACACTATACCATTAAGAAAAAAGTAACGTGTAATAGCATTTGAGTATGAATTTCATTCACCATAATAACGGTGGCATGTTGTTGACTGATAAGTTTAAATCTTCTTTATTCTGTAATTTAGTGCTTCAAAAGTAGGTTAAGTAACAACTTTTATCTGAGATGTTTTTAGTTTACTAAACCCTGAATGAATTTTCTAGATAATGGGCTAATTATAAAAATATTTTCATAATTTCTATACTATAATGAGAATCCATTTATTCACGCTTTTCTTATTTAATAATTACAATCCATTTACTGATGAAAGAGTATTTGTTAACCCAATTTGACATAAGGAAAATATTAGAAAATTAAATAATTTAGGAATTCTCTGCCAATTACTCAAATCCATTTACCATAGACGTAGCATTGGAATCCATTTACCATAGAAGTAGCATTGGGAAAATAGTAAGGAGAAAATAGTAAAGAGATAAACACACTATTCATGTAAGGTTTACCATAGGGTGAGGTGTATTTTAAACACATTAATAATATTATAATGGCTAATTAAATCCATCTCCAATCTTTGGATAAAAATTGTTTATCCAAACTGCTGACGTGATCTAATGCACAAATATTACAAAATTAGAAAAGTGATAAATAAAGACAAATAACTTTTTTTAAAAATACTCACCTATAGTAAGCAAGTCTTGTCCAAATAATTCATGCAACAAAACCGACATTTGAGTAATAGTTGTTTTGTGTTTCTTTTTCCAGCCTCTTCTTCTTCGTTCATTTTCTTTTTTTTCTTATTTTTTTTCAGCTCTCTTCAATTTACATTCTGATTGTTATGAAATCAATTTGGACCAAATTTTCAACTAAGCCTTTTAGATTTCCCAAAATGCTTCAAGCTCTTACAAACACATTAGCAAAGGGCACCCTAGCCGCAAACAATTTCTCTTGTTTCTAACAAATGCAATTTTCAATCTATTTCTAAAGTTGTCTCTTGTTCATCTGAACATCCTTGTGAATTATTGGGTACAAGAAGCATGCAACAGCTTTTAAATAAACACACGAGGGATTTATAAACTAGACAGCTTTTAAGTAATAGTTGTTTTGTGTTTCTTTTTCCAGCCTCTTCTTCTTCGTTGATTTTCTTTTTTTTCTTATGTTTTTTTCAGCTCTCTGCAATTTACATTCTGATTGTTATGAAATCAATTTGGACCAAATTTTCAACTAGCCTTGTAGATTTCCCAAAATGCTTCAAGCTCTTACAAACACATTAGCAAAGGGCACCCTAGCCGCAAACAATTTCTCTTGTTTCTAACAAATGCAATTTTCAATCTATTTCTAAAGTTGTCTCTTATTCATCTAAACATCCTTGTGAATTATTGGGTACAAGAAGCATGCAACAGCTTTTAAATAGACAGACTCGAGGGATTTATAAACTAAAACAACAACCCCCACCCCCCACCGCCCCCCCCAAAAAAAAAATTAATAATAAAAAATAAATTAATTAGTAGGCACTTTGTTCTTTGACTCAAGCTCATCCTCCATTTTGCTGTTGATTCAAGGGATAGCAACCTGGGCAGAGGGCACAATTCGGCAAGTGGGCAACACACCAGCTTCACCTGTTGCTGTGCCAGAACTAACTTGCTCAGATCCAGCAACTTTGTTACCCAAAACAGCCACAACTGAGTTATCAGTGGGATGATTAATCTCCTCGCTTTCAGATTTTCCATCCTCAGATTTGTTTTCTTTCCTTGAAGCTGGTTCAGCTTCGAAATTTACTGTCACAGATTCCGGCTGAGGTTTGGCTTCCACTGTAACAGCATTACCATTTGCAGCTTCTGATGTGACTTGTGAACCAGAATCTTGTTGATCTTGGATATCTAAGACAGGTGGTGGAGCTGATGCCGATGTGTTACCTGGTCCTGGTGCCTCGCCTTCAGGAAACATAACAGGCCCTGGCTGAGGAAAAAATCCTTGAGGACCATGAACAAGTTCTTGATGAAATTGAGGGGCAAAGGAAGTTGAAGCATTAGAGTTAGGTGTGCAAAGTGCCTGAAGTGCTGGGTAAAGTGCCTGAAGTGCTGGGTAAAGTGCTTGAAGAGCTGCTTGTCCAAGCATAGCTTGCTCATCCTGGAACCGCTTGAAGTTTGAAAGGTGCTTTTTACCAGCCAAATGAGTTTCAAAAACCACCTGTGACTCGCACTTAACATTGCACAGCTCACATATTAAGGGAATCACTTCTTTGGGTTTCGGAGGAGGCTCCACTTGTCTTCTTGACCCTTCATAAGTTCTCATCCACTTACCGCCTTGGCCTCCCCTCATCTTACGCTTTAGACCACGCCTTCGAGCTTCAAATCGATCCGTCCTCTGCTTTCCTGCTGGTTCCTCTGTTGGTTCTTGTTCCCCTGAAACTTTTTGCTCATCAGTTTCAACTTTATTTTCAGTAGCAGCTTCAGAGGACAAGTTTTCTTGTGATTTATTCCCTGATCCACCAACATTTTCAGGTTGAACAGAAACTTCTGGTTTAACTTCGGAGACAGGCATTTGCTCATTTTGTCCAACCAAAATTTTTTGGAGATTCTGCAACTCTTCATATACCTTCAAGTTCTTTTTATGCCTCTTTCCATTTTTGTGTTGTTCGAGGATTTCATAAGTGTTGCAATCAACCCTGCAGAGTTCACACCATGCCATTCGTGGAGGCTGCCGGATTGGAGTCGGACGTACTTGAGCTGGGGCATTTAGTGGTGTCTGCACAGGACCAGATGCATATGGTGGTGCCATTAGTGTTTGAGGTGGCTCTCCTTGGATGTGTGATGCTTCTCCATGAACAAATGTCGCTGTGTCCACAGCTGGCATTGATGCAGAATTTGACAGAAAGTGCCTACCACGACCCCTAGCAAAATGGCCGCGACCACCTCCTCTGAACGGTCGACCACCTCTTCTACCTGCACCCCTATATTGAGATTGCCGGATCTGCAGAATGATATTAAGAGGTTCTTCAAGAAAAACATACAGTAGACTGCTTTGAGACATGCTAAATGCTGACATGATTTAAGTTAGAAAATGATTAAATATTTTTCAGCTGAAGTGAAATATTACTCCCGAAATTGCATTGTACATCCAGAATATTATAGATTCTTCTAAATTTCTATGTACACAAAACTACTACAATATCAGAATTATATTAGATTCTTCTAATTTTTTTTCCTTTCTCTCTCTCTACCAGTCTCAAAACCTTGACCTAAGGCTTAGGAGTTAAAAACCAAAGCCACTAGGACAAAGGGAGACCAGTTGTGAGATGCATAAATTGATCATAAGGAGCATCACAAGTATAGAAATCTAATTCAAAAACAAGTGCAATGGTAGCATGAATAGAATATTTGGTGCAATCAAATAACAATAAAAAAAAAATCCAAGAAAACCAAGGTATTGAATTGGAAAAGGGCTCGTCTTCTTCAATAACTGCTTAATCAAGATGATGTCAGTAAATATTAGGATATGTCTAAGCAACATTTCATGCCTAAACATATATACTATAGATTCACCTATTAATAAAAAATAGTACATAAATATCATGGGCCTTCTAGTCGAAGTGGTTTCCTAAAGCATTACAGGGTCATACATTAGAGTTCAATTATATCAAGTGTATCTTAAAAGAAAAGAAAATGTACACAGAACACATGAAGAGAGAGAGAGAGAGTAATTTAGTGAGCTGATAACAGAGCAGGAAGAGCAGGAGCAAAAGGTGATCAATTAATAGTCAAAAATCTTCCATAAATGCCGGATAATTGGTGAAATTTTGATATCCTAAAAATTCAATTGGACAGTCAAAGTTGGAAGGGGTTCCAAAAGATGAAAAAGAAGATTAGGAATGCAGGTATCCCAAGTGGAAGAAGAACATGAAAACGCACAAGACAGACAACTAGTTACTAATCTGCTAAAGGTTGCTCAATGATTGGTGAAATTTTGCCATGTTAAGGGTTTCTTCTAGAGTATGTTGGGATGGGAAATAGGGCTAAGAAGGAAATTGTAGCACACAGTAAATTAAATATGCAAATTAACCCAAAAATTTCTACAATGTAGGAGAATGAACAGAACCAAGACGGTTGGTCATGATGCCAATGTTGCAAATTGGTATCGCCAACTGTAAGTGTGCACATATGGAGAGAGAGAGAGAGAGAGAGATGGGGTGATGACAAAATATACCAAAAGCAGTGTCAACATCTTTAATATCTGACAACAGCGAGATAAGGGCAATGGCGCACCAAACCTCTAAACAGTAAACACAGCTGAAAGTGACTTGTAAACAATATTAAAGGATTTAAAAAGTGAATTATGCCTTGTGTCCCAGTTTTTTGGGGAGGTAATGTGAGATAAATGAATACTTTTAACAATTTAACTCTCTTGATTTTATATACACACAGAGAGGTGCACCTAAGCATCACTGTGTACACACAGCACATAACCTATAAGTAGTTGTCATAAAAAGAAAACAGCACACAAACTAAAAGCAGGCGTCATAAAAAGAAAACAGAAAGTTTATATGCCAAATAGGCATGCCCTGCTCAAAATAGTTAAACACAAAAGTGTAATGTAGAATAAAAACATATTAACTTACTTAATCAAATATCATCATCAGTAGCAACCAGTAAGAAGTTGTAATGCAGATATAAGTACAAACACATGACAGGTGAATAAGTAATTCAACTCTATAAAGCCATTCCCAAGTTCCCAGCAACTTTAGATCTGCTATGTTCTATCAACTAATTTATGTAGCTGCAGTGCATTAGGATGTTACTATGATAAATCAGCTATGTTAAGTAAAAACAGTGAATTAAAGATGTTTTGGTGGATAATGACTGATTTTCAACAATAAAAGTTGCAATCATCGTTGATTCTTAATGTATCTAGACGCTGACTTGAAGTTACACATTATATATCTATATATTTCAATGAAAACTATTACATTTTATTACAAGATAACAAAGTATCATAGATGACTTGGAGGCGGAGAGAGAGATTGAACATAAGTTTCACACAAGACATCATCAACCTGTGCTGGCCACTCAAAAAAACTCACAAGACCTGTTAAAAAAAATATGCTAGGATCCTTGTCCCTTTGTTTTGAAATACTGTATTCTTTAACGTCCCCAGATTCCCCATCTCACCTTAAATTGGCTGAAGAAGCCCACTCCACGAGGACTGATACCCTTTTGCTTTTCAAAGCAATTAATGCTTTTGAAACAGCCATATTGTTAGAAAACACAATTAGTGCATTCACATCTTACCATTTAAAATTAATTTTTTAGACAACTGTCCACTGTTTGACCTCAGACGTCATGTAAGTTTTATGCATCTTACATGCTACAGTCTGCCATTGATGTATAAAATTGCATAAGGTGTCATGAGGAAGTGTTGAAATTTCATAACCCTATCTTTTTAAATGGACAGCCAAAAAATGAAGAGGCAATTCCTTGTGGATTGGGGGAGAGTATATTATTTATATTCAACCTAAAATGAGAAATTTTACAAAATAGGCAATTGGTGGGGTGTCACACTGGATTCAAAGAACAATATTTCCTCATTACGACCAAGCTTACACCATAATTATATCACCGTTCTGCCACATTCAGCACTGCTTAAAGAGCAAATGACCTGCCAGTGATTTCCACAAAGTATTTTCTAAGCATCTGTCTCCATCCACAAAATATGGGCAGCATGAAGCCATGAGAGGTTTAGCATTCCTTGAGACGTCTCAATTTACAACCCTGAATAGAGGCTCATTGCTCACCTATGCCCAAAAATACAGAACAAACACCTCATTCAATTCAGACCCTTGTAAGAAATTACCTATAACAGAGAAAATTTTACCCCATCCTCAACTGGAAGGCACATCGTATGATAAAAGTTAACAAGGCCCTACAGTTAACAATGGGTCAAAAGCACAGAATCGGTTCAACATGACCATACACATGAGATTCAAAAAACCCCATGTTAGGGAAAAAAACAGAATCACTGCATCAAGGATGCCAACATGCCCACATAAGCTCTAAAGCAACCAGGAAGGAAAAGATCCATTATTGTGCACCAATAACAAGCCACCTATAGCTACTGCTACATGTGCCTCGTAAGAAAAGGTGACAGATCTGGTTTGAAATTATTCTTGCTCTGGTTGCTTTAAGGTTCTGTGGCCAAGTTTATAGATGCCTCTTTTACATCTTCTGAGAGTAAAACAATGGGCATGCTAAGATTTTGATTGCCCATCAGGAAAGGAAAAAAAAAAAAAAACAAATACACTCCTACAGAATTATAAATACCTTGTACCATGTCTAATACTTGCAAAATCTTCAACCTAGCAAAAATCTTGTGACTAACCACTTCTGCAAAGGAAAGAAACAACTTTAGGTGAACGGTCAAACAGAGCCAAATAGAGGGCTGTTCAAGCCCAGTGTAGTGATATTTAACCATGGTCAGCTGGTTTGGTCTCAAGCTTTAGCTACCAGATGATGTTATGCAGCTTCAGCTCGAGAATTCTATCCAGCTTGTCTAGTGACAGTCTAGGCTTCTGACTTAGCGGATAATATTCATTGTGTTTGCTTGACTATATTTATAGAGGCTTTAAAAATGGAACCACAACTTCCACAGTTGATGCATTTTTTTTTTTTTTTTGGGTGACGAGGAACCGTTGCAATCAGGCTCCCTTTGGACTCATAGCTACAATGCAAACCCCAGATATTCACAATCACCGGCAAACCACGAATATCGCTTAAAACAGGACTCAAACTTAGATTTCAACGTAATGACCTTGAGACCTTGCTATTCAAGCAACCCTGACGGATGGATGCAGTATTGCTCCCTCTAAAGCTTCTATTTAAACCACTACAGAAATATGATTCATGTGTGCCCTTCTAGCCAAGCTTAACAGCCATAGTATAGGTCAACGCACATTAACACATGATAAAGCTTGAAACCAAATTTTAAAGAGCAAAGTTTGAGTGGTTTAATTACTTTCAGTGCCCCAAATGAGCACCCAAAATCTATTTTGGTGGCATTCATCCACTAAGAAAAAATAAAATAAATAAATAAATAAAAGGAAAAATAGTTACCAACAGTGGCCTAGCAGTACCAGGCCCCTACTTCCCAAAGGGAGGTCAGGGGTTCGAGCCTCAATGGAGGCATGTGTGTGTGAGTACCAACTACAAAAGAAAAAAAAAAAAAAAAAAAAAAAAAAAAAGAAAAAAAAAAAAAAAGGGGAAAAAATAATTTCTTTGAGTAAGATGGAATAGATGAGACACTAAACTAAAAAAAGATGTCACAAAACAATCATGATACGACAGAAATTATATCCCCTAGACCTGGTAAAGTGCAAGACCACGGTCGATACTGCCTCTAGCATGAATCAAATTAATCTATTACAGTGTTAGACTAGACAAGCAATTTTTTATTCAACCAAACTTCCTTTTCCACAGGCTCGTTCCTCATTCCCAAAATCATCAAATAATCAAACTTTACCCCCCAAATAATTGAAGGAAAAAAAGCTCCCTCTAGGTACTTGTGATTGGAAATTCACTTCATCAGAACAAACACATGATATCACGATACTTCAATAAGATTAACTGTACTATCTAGATCAGAAACAAGAATGCTATGTCATTTAGTTTCCACTTCAAGTGTCCCTACTGCTGCAGCCTCAATGCTGCATAATGAGGAAAAGTGCAGTTTAATGATGAACAAAATATAATCGATGGCCATCCAATGAAGCACTAACACCAATAGTAAAATTCAACTTTTACATTTCATATTATCCTATATAGGAAATGTGGGTGTGTGCGCGCGGGTGTGGGTGTGTGCGCGCGGGTGTGGGTGTGTGTCTATAGAGAAAGTGAGAAACAACCCATGACAACTTCAAGATTAAATAAGTATTTAATTACAGAATACTCATCTGACGCTAAGACATGCATCACTAAGGTATCTATTTAGGTTTTAGATATCAAAATTAAAAGATATAAAGATCTTATTAATCTTGGTATGAATAATGAGGGAGATATAGACACGAACAAATAGAGCATGAATAAACATATTCACATGGCATAAGCGCTCTATGCTGAAATAGAAAAAGTACAGAAAAAAAAAAAAAAAAAGTCATATTGAGCAAATTTAGGGTGGAGAGGAAATATATTGTTCCAAAAAATATTTGGATAAATAGCATCAACGTATTGACACTCTGTTATATAAACCAAACTATCAAGTTTTAACTTCCCAAGAATGCTCTCATTCCTCATTCAACTTTTCTTATGTTGCAACTCATTCACCTCAGAATTCTCATTTGCCCTCACTTCAGTTTGTATACATGTTTATCCCAAAAAAGAAATTTAGCAAAGCTACTTCGAATGTAGAATGACAGCTTGTTTAAAGATAGTTGCTCCACACAGTCTTCTACGTGCTTCATAGAAAATTTCTCCAAAAAGATCTTCAATAGCAATGCAGATACTTTTTAAGAAGGCTGATTCACCCGATTAGCAAAAATGTGTGTTCATGCTTTTTCTTGATCATGTGTATGACTTGCATATTGCTATCTTATATAGTTGTGCCTCATAACTAATACTAGTAATTAAGTAGATTACACACTCATAAATATACGATGATATGACTTGGGGTCAAATAATTGTATCACTTACTTCTAAATTATGTCACTTACTTCTAAAAGATGATCTCTTCAAAGATAACATCTGGAAAACTCTATGAATGGTACCAAAATTACTTTAGTCTAACATATTAGTTCTTGGTTTACACAATCAGCTTGGTCAGGCACAAATAATATACTTGGTCAATGTATAGGCCTATGCTTTGTTAGTCTTGACTATAGTCATGGTAATACTACTTATCCATGGCCCAGTGCAAAATGCTAGCAAAAAGCGGCTTAAGTGAGCACAATGGCACTTCAAGTACACAGGCTTGATTTAATAAAGAAGGAACAAGAAAACTAATTGCAACCTTAGAATTTATTATAAAAAATTTTGTTCTATCTATTGAAAATATATCAGCCACACATTTAGAAAAAGAACAAGAAAAAACAATTGCACACTTAGAATTACCTATCAAAAAAAGGTTCTATCTATCAAAATTATCAGTGACACATATCTATTGACGATATTACCAATAAACCAAAACCCACCTCCATAAATTTGAAGATGTTTTACTAGGAGAATACCATCTTTCAGTAATAAACATTAGGAATACCGTTCAATCACTTAAAGTTGTCAGACTCACAATCACTTCACTGCATGAAACTTTGGAATACTCTTCCACTTAATCCATCAAATCTATTCCATGCAACAATCTCTCCGACCTCTTCCTCTTAATGATAATGAAGGCTAAAGTTGATATCTTTTTCCATCAAACTAACTACATCCTCATTTCCATTTCTAGTTTTGTTTTAAAAATATATATGTCACCTATTTGGTATTGGTCCTGCACTCCTACTCACCTTAAAACCTCTTAATGGATGACATAACCATAAACATTTACTACATAACTTATTGAATTTCCAAATCACATCCTGATTAAATTCAAGAGGCGGTTAACTACTATGCAGCACGCATATATGAAACATTAAAAATTGTCCATGTGCATGTATTTTCGGGTGTGTGAGTGAGTGCATAAATTTGAACAAGTGAAACTATATCAAACTAGCTAGTTTATTCAAGTAAATTAAGTCCAGATAGGAAACCAAAGAATTAAAAATAATTGAACATAGGAATTAGAAATCATAAATCAAAACTGTATAACCAAAAACCCATTTTATGCTGTTGGATTGCGATTCGAAATCACAAATCAAAACTCATACCAGCAAATGGGGTTCATTATTTATTGATACCTGTCCAAACCCTCCATTATTTCCCTGCCACTGTTGTGAATTCAGTTGGTGTTGATCCAAAACCCCTTTTGGGTAATAAGAATTGTTCCCCAAAAGCTGTTCTGGGTCAGCCATTTGGGTTGGTTGATGTGGAATAGGAACCCCAGGAGGGTGAATCGAAGTGGGTTCTTGCTGAGATTGTTGTTGGTGGAGGTATTGTTGATAAGCACTGTTGTAATCTTGGTGGTAATATGTGTATTGTTGTGGATTGTATTGATCGTATGTGTAGTAAGCTTGTGTTGATTGATCGTAAATTTGAAGTTGATATGGATCAGAGACTGTGTGTTGTTGATGATGATGTTGAAGTTGGAGGTGTTGCTGATATTCAGTGGATTGATCCATGGCTGTGTTTTTCCGTAGGGTTGGTTTGGCTCTATCGGTTGTTATCAAAGGGACCGGGCTTATTTATTTACAAAGTGGTGGAAGTCAGTTGTGTACTTCTTGTTGAATCTTCCCAAAATATTTACAAATACACGAAGGGCAACTTGCCAGAACATTTACAAATACATTGAAAGCATTGTGGTGGAGTTTGATACAAATTGTTCACGCGTGCTTGCCCCCAAAAATTGAAGCACGAAATGTCATTGTTGCAATTGAATCATTCTCGTGTTAAAATATATATTTTAGGGTTAATTACGCGCACACTTTTTGAGGTCTTTCTGAGATTTGTCTTATTGATTGTCAAATGAAAGTTAATTTATTTTTTAATAATGACACCCCTTTTAAAAAATTTAAACTAAATAGTTCCTTAAAAAGTGAAAAATGACAAAATTATCGTTCAATAAAATATTAATTTTAAAATAAAATATCATAAATTTTAAATGATGAAACTGCCCTTGTTAGGCTTCTCTCTCTACCTCCCCACTCAAAAACCCAAAACTTTCTTCCTCTCTTTACCCTCTCACCTTCATCAAAAACCCACCACCACCACCACCCGCTGCAACCTCCACCACCCACCAGCATCCCCACTACAATATTAATCACATGTTTGTATTTACATTTCAGAAATAAATTGATTTAGGAATCAAACACACATACATATATACATAAACACACATCCCCATTATGTATCTCCAATCCAATCTAACCCATCTACATCAAGCTCTTCAACAATCCTCCTATATTGGTGAAAAAAATAGCATTCAATCCCTCCTCTTCTCCAATGATCCTCCTCCACACATGCTAACCCGAAACCCTAAAATCAAACCAATAAAACCTAATCAAACCCATTTGGCATCGCGGTGATGGTGAATGAGGTGGTCCGACGGCGGCGGCAATTATAGACAAGGCGGTATGACGGCGGCGAGGAATGGAGGGTCTCGCTGCCCGCTCACTGTCGGTGATGCCTCCACCATCGCCTCATCTGGTTCGCTCACTGCTCCAAAGAGAAGAGCACTTTGTTTGTCTGGTTTTTTTTTTTTTTTTTTTTTTTTTTTAAGAAAGATGTAGGTCTCTCTTCAAAACCCTTGGTGTGTGTGTATGTGTGTGTTTGGAAGCTTTTTTATTTTATTTATAATATAAAAAAACTGAAGAAGAACTATATATAAAAATAATTTTAATTTCCATTTACATTACATAAGGATTTGCTTCCAAAATTATTCAGTTTTTCTCTCCATACTAGTAGGATTAAAATGGTTTATATCTTCTTCTTCATCCTCTTTCAATATATGTAATTATATATGTATGTGTTTAAGTATAATTGGAGAAGATAATATATATCTAACATATATGTATTCTGAAGAGGTTGATTTGATATATTAAAATTAGTTAGAAAGTTAAATTGGTAATTTTAGCACTATAATGGGTTAATTGACAAGTCAAAGGGTTTTTTAGTCATTTTATCACATGTCAAAATGTTAAGGAGTGTCTTTGTCAATTGGAATAAACTTGAGGGGGTGTCATTTTTTAAAAATAGGCTATCTTTCATCTGACTGTTAATAGAACAAATTTCAAGGGTTGCGTGTGTAATTAACCCTATATTTTAAATCATTCTACTTATTTATTTATGAAAATATTATTATCTCCATTCCATTTTAAATGTTTATTTCAAAAATTGTGACTAAGGAGTACTACTTAAAAATTTATGATTAATACTTAAAACATTTAAATTTCAGCTCTCAAACTTTTTTATTTTATTAAGATTGTGTTTGGAATGTCAAGATTTGGTGCAATTTGAAATAAATAATTATAATAATAATAAAATCCTATTGTTTGTAATGAAATTAGAGTGTATAAGGATTTGAAATTTCAAAATATATTGTCCGCAACGGACAATTTTGAAATAATATACTAATTGAAATAAATAATTATAATAATAATAAAATCATATTGTTTGTAATGAAATTAGAGTGTGTAAGGATTTGAAATTTCAAAATATATTGTCCGCAACGGACAATTTTGAAATAACATACTAATTGGTCGGATTTGAGGGGATTTGTAAATTGATTACCGGACAATTTTGTAAACAGAAAATGGGCCTGATGGTGAGGGATCAAACCAGCCAAACCCACTGGCACGAAACGAGCCAGAAATAAAAGAGGGTTGGGCCTAAAGCCTATAAAAACAAACCACAAACCAGGAAACTACCCACTGTGGCGCATACTAAAATTTAAAAAACCGTCATAACCAAACCCTAATTAGGGCGAATTACTAGAGAACTTAAACTCCACCAAACTGCCATGGCAAAACCATGCCTTGAATCCTTCACGCAAATGAAGGAAGGCAAGAGCATCTTCAAATTCTTTTCTTCCACATTTACAATTATTTGATTGAATTTTTTTGAAGATTCGATGAATTAGTTAGATAGCACTTTTGATCCGACAATCATAAATTCATGTTTATGGTGAGATTTCTTTCATAATAGATGTATTCTTTTAGAAAATGGAGAAACTAAAAGAGAGGAAAATATATATATATATATTTTTCTTTTAAAGTATGTATATCGGCCCCACAACATACGTACCATTCAAGTCAAGAGTGCGGTTTCGAAAGTTAGACCCCAAGAACTTACTTCCTGAATCCCAACCAACGCTATTATTCTTATGGGGATGGGAGAAAAATAATTTGAAATGTCTAATTCGTTTTAATTTAATGAATAGTGGAAAGAAATTAATGATGTGACTAAGCACATATTGACGGGGGTTGAGATAAGATAGATGATGAACGTGATGATCTAAGTATTACTTTTCCTTTTGTCAAAAGGTTAATGTAGAGTACGTTACTCAATTGGCAAGTACAATGAATCTTCATGCAATGCAATGCAGATCAATTTTGTATTTTTCTTTCTAGTGGTGGTTTAGGTTGTAATTAGGAAAATCCTATCAGTGTTTGAGGCTATATCTAGCCTCACCACATGTAATATATATAACAATAATTTAATATCACTATGTAAAAACAAACTTTAGTGCTGTTTATTCCGACTTTGATTGATAATTTAATATCACTATGTAACTTGACTTTGATCCATAATTTTACTAAACGTTTGAAATTATATTATGTGATGGTTAAGGACAGAGCCGATGAAGGGGCACGTGCTCTCTGTCTGGCCCCATCCTTTATAATAAATGTGTTATTTTTTTAAAAAAAAAAAAATTTATAGAGTGCCACCCCTAAATTTTGTAATTTTTAAATTTATCTTTTTATTTTCTCTTTTACTCTTTAAATTCCTTAAATTTCCTTAAAATGAAAAGTTAAATTTTCCCACCTCAATTGAAACTCTTAATTTTTTCCTTTTAAAGTTCTCCCAATTTTCTTTCTTTTTTTCTTTTTCTATTTCTACTTCTTAAAATTCTTCTACATGCATATTTGAATAATTTTTTTCTTCTTTTTTGTAATTTATATTTGTTATATTATATATATTTTGCACAGGTACCCCTAACTTGAAATCCTAACTCCGTCCCTAATGATTGTCATGCTATTCACTTTGCGTGGGGCACTCGGTGACGAGAGATAATTAAACAGTTGTTGAAAGAGATAATGGTGATGGTGTAAACTTTAATTGTTAGAAACCTTGAAGAAAATTGAAAAGTTGAGGCTAAAAAAAGATCATATTGATGACTGGCTCCTTTTTGGGCTAGCTTTTTGAAGCTATGCCAGCAAACGAAGGTTATTAATTGGTTGGTTGGTTGGTTTGTTTCTATCTCCATTCAAAACTTCCACGAGCTACAGTTACCTTTCCCTCCCCCACCACTTTTATGGTGGTGTTAATATCACATCGGTCTCTTTCTCACAAAACAAAACCTTAACCCTTTCTTTTGTGTGTAAAGCCAAATCTATTGCCGGTTCAGATATATATAAGATATGGAGTTCACACTTCACCAATTTATATGTGTGTTTTATTTTTAATTTAAATATTTTATAGGATAAAGAACAACTCACCGACTCATGACCAAGGACCGCACTATATCCGTATATACCAATCCTCTCCTAAACTATAAAGAGGGCTGGTCATAAATTTTGATATTTGAAATATAAAGAGGGCTAGGCTAGCCAATGTCCCATCATAACTATAGATTAGCATTAATACTCATTTAGGTTGGAAGAAAGGTAGAACCGTAGATGTGTGTATATAAAATAGGAAGTAAAAAATGATTTTTTACTTTTTTTTTTTTTTTATTTGATAGAGATGATACAAAGAAATAAATGAGATTAGGTAGGATAACACGTGGCATCTTTCATCCTTTATAAATTTTCATCCGTCCAAAAATAGGGTGAAGAAAGGAGAGAAGACAAATTATATAAATTTTAAATTTTCTAAGTTTTAAATTAATATTATCCTAAATTATACAAATTTTAAATTATAGTTATATCCTCTATATATTAGAATATTATAAATATTAACGGATATAATGATAAAAATAATTAAAACTTTCTCTTTCCTTCTCTTTTAACGAACATGGTAAATTATTAGGTTATTCTCTCCTCTTCTATCCAACCGAACAAAAAAATAGAAGAAAATACACAATCTCTTCTTTAGAGATTTCTTATTCATTGCTTCTTCTCTCTCCTCCATCCAATTTTTTTCTTTTCTACAGAATAAAACATTATAAAAGATAAGGTGGGAATAAGAGGGCATATATCATGGGTTGCTATTTGGACACCCCAATTAAAGATTCATTTTGAAGAGGACATTTCCACTTTTTTTAAAATAAACAAGGACTAGGATCCTCTAAGTTAAAATCTTTCTACATTATCTTAAGTTGAATTGTTATAGTTTTAACATGTGTCATTTCACCAAATTCTAGGACTGACAATGCTCCACATAATTTGATGATAAAAAGAGCTTGAAACGATAATATTTTGAGAAAGAAAAACAACTTTAGGTTTCCAATCGCCCACCTCTCTCTACCAGTATTCTTGGTTTGATTTTTGATTTTTTTTTTTTTTTTTTCATCTCATACAACTAGATTCTCAGTTTATTCCTTCAGTTTTCGACAATGTAAGACGAGAGAGACGGAGGATCTTTTTTTAGAAAAGATGAGGGAGAAATAACGACGTTAAATGTTCGTTAGAGTATGCTGAATTTTTCTTAATTTAAAATGGTGCAGTTTTTAAACTTTGGTAATTGTTTCTTATCTCAAATGGTGCAGTTTTTAAACTTTCTTTAAATTAGTTGACACGATTTAACACAGTAGTACATTGATTTTAAATGTCACATGTCAATCTGTAACGGATTCAACTAAGGATAACTTAGAAAATATTTAATTTAGAGGATCCAAGTCCATATATATAATGGAAGATTAGAGTATAATGAATTTTCCTTAATTTAAAATGGTGCCGTTTTTAAACTTTGATAATTGTTTCTTATTTCAAAATGGTGCAGTTTTCAAACTTTCTTTAAATTAATTGACACGATTTAACACCAGTAATAGATAGATTTTAAATGTCACATGTCAATCTGTAGCGGATTCAACTAAATATGACTTAGAGAATATTTAATTTAGAGGATCCAAGTCCATATATATAATGGAAGAATATAAAAGAAAGAAAATAAAGAGAAAAAAAAAAAAAAAATTTGTGAAGTGATATGTTCTACACTTGGTTGTTTTTTTGGTTGTAGTTACTTTTTTTTTCTAAGTTTATTTTTTTTTATTTTTAACAAGGTCTATTTGGTTGATGAAAATTAATAAAGGAAATTTTTTAAAAAAAAATTATGAAAGGACAATACTTATGACTTGTCACATGAACTAATAATAAATGCATACATCTTTTTTAATTATCAAGTCACATGTGGTGAAATATATCTTTAATCACCAAATTAGAAATGATGATACACACTTACAAGTATTATTTTTAACTTTATAAATAAAAAAAAGTGTCAATTTATTATTGGATCAATAACACACTTACTAGTATTATTTTTTCACTTCAAATATATATTATTTATGAAGAAACTGGAAGGTTACATACATCATATTATATATATACAACAACAACACAATAACAACATTTTCCCCAATTTTCGATTTAATAAAAAAAATTCAAACACTTAAAGTCTTCAATTTGACCACGTGCTCAAAATAATTCGTGAACCAATTTCGTTGAAGATAGTCCAAACTTCAAATCTTGAAGTTAGAGATATTTAATTATTCACTGTCTAATTAAAATTCAACATCACCAAACTGCTGAATTTGGTTCTATTGCGTGTTATTGTGCCTGAAGTATTCAATTCTATATATTCTGCCAGAATCTGGACTGTTTAATAATTCATATGAAATTAAATGAAATCAAAACCTTCTTACCCATTTATATTATTATTCTAATTATATTTAAAATAAATCTACATTTTTTTCTAAAATTAATTATAATAATTGATATTTTTTCACAAATAAATCAGTTGTCAATAATAATAACAATAATAATAATAACAACATCATTAGCAAATTTTTTTTTTTTTTTTTGACAGAACTTAAGCAATTATAAAATATTTAATAGTGATAAAACAAATGGCTAATTTGCTAATGAAGCTGTTAATATTATTATTATGTCATTGTCTAGTGACCTTATCTAGTCCGACCAAGTCTACTCAATCGCAGCCCTTTATTAACTTTTACTACAAAAGCAAAACAAAAAGAAGAAGAAAGAGATGAGTTATATATAATGAAAAATTAGAAACTTGCAATTCAAGTTATATACAGTATATAATAATATAAAGTCCACTGAAGCCCAACTTTAAATAAAATGATATTTTTCTACCACATCAAATTGTGTAGTCAATTATATCATAATTTTTCTAAATAAATAACTCTACAGGCACAATTTTGTTTCATGTAAAGTTTAAATATATAAACATATTTACAGGCACAATTTTGTTTCATGTAAAGTTTAAATATATAAACATATTTTCAAATTACTTGATTTTTGTAATTATGACAAATCATATTCATATAATTTATCCTATATTTTTACTTTTACAAGTGTAAAACGTATACCATCTTAATTAGAGTTTAATTAATAAGTTAATAACTCTGAGTTGATCATTTCTATTTTGTTAGGAATTATGTAAAAAATAAAATAAAATAAAATAAAATATTGATAATGTTTAGTGACTTGTGCACATGTGAAAGTCATAAAACCTTTAAGAGCACGTGTCAAACAGCATAGTGTTTATAGTGTGACTTGTGTTGTGTATAATGTATGACCATCTTCAGCCTCCAACTCTTACTTAGATAATTCTTAGGAAGCAAAAAGATCCAAAATTTTGGTCTTCGATCCTCACCATTGTTATGCTTTCAGTTACTAAAATAAATCGAAATTTGCTTAAACTAAAAATCACTCAAATCTGAAAAGATAAAAATTAATGGAATATAATTTTTTTTATTAGAAAATATATATATCTTGAGAATCTTGACAGTAGGTTGTAATTTTGGAAAATAAAACACCTGATAAAACCCTAATTTTTAGGAAAAGAAAAAAAACAGAGTTTTTATGCACAATCAATGACATCCAAACAAGTAAACACAATAATTTAGAAAGAATTTTGATACATTTTGAATATTTATTGGATTCTTACATATTCAGAAAGGTTAATCAGTTTATATTTCTATGCTTACAATTCAACCTTTTATCATAAATGTAGAGAAATTATTAGATGATGTTGGGCCACTAATATTTGATGGTCCAATTTAGTTAAGACTTTTCAATTAAGAAAATTGTAATAAGATATTATTAAAAAAATAAACATTATTTTTTATTGAATTAGACATCCAAAAAACCGATAGCCACATGCGATTAATTAATTTATTTTTTTTAACAAACATGCCATTAATTATGTATTAAATGAATGTGACTGATTTTCCATATGTTACTGTATTACACCTGCAAGAGCCGGATGCGTAGGCCATGCCAAATCAAACAAACAATAAATCCTCGCATGGTATTTTGCACTTCTCTGTTTAAGTACTACAGATTTCCCAAACTATTGAAATTATATTAATTAATGGTAAATTAAATGCACCATAGAAAATATTTTATTCATTAAATAATTATTTGCTTGTTTTTTTTTTCCAACTATTAAATAATTAATCTCACTCTAGTCAGTATTGGAAAGGGTAGTCAAATCTGCAGAGAAATGTTAAAATAACCATTAAGATTGTTATTGTGGTGCAGTAAATAACTTAAAGCAAAGCAGAGAAAACGACGAATCAAAAGAACAAGATTAATTAAAAAGACTAGAGATGAGAAACATTTAGGGCATATTTAATTTAATTTTTTGAAAAAAATATCTTGTTGTCAGTGAATCAAAAAATCAAAAACAAAATAAAATTTTGTTTGATATACAATTTATGAAATTGTTCTTTTGCAAAAGGAGTTCGAAAACTAAGTTTTACCTTCAAAATTCTAAAAAACTCTAACGCAAAAATAATTGAAGCAAACGTGTCCATAACTTCTCTTTTAACTTTACCAATTGAAAGTCGAAGATTACCTTTTTCATAACAAAATTTGCATAATTCTTGATCAACGTCTTACAACAATTTATTTTCTAGGCATTTTTTACTTTTAGCTCCTAATAGTGCAGAGTTGGTTGCAAAAATGGCAACTTTTTTGTCACTGAAAAGAGAGAATTGTAAAAAACAGCTTTCCAGAACAGCTCGAGACTGTAAACACAGGACATAGATATATATATATATATATGTTTATATAAACATATTATAAAGATTTGTAAATGAAATAAATTTATCTGGTTCCTCTATTAATCAATGGATGTTCTAAATAAGCTGTCACAGTAACAGACCATAATTCAGAAGAAACCAATTACAGTCAGATTATGAATGACAATAATATGTTAACATAGAAAACTGAGAAAAACCCATTTGACCCGATTGGCAAAAAAATAGTAATATGGTCTTAGATCTATTGATATGAAAAAGTAACAAAAAATTCTTTTACCTCTGAATCAATAATCTTTCTTCTTCGTCTCGAAACCATTCAATTAATGCCTGCTTTGCTTGATTGGATTGACAAATTCAGCATCAGAAACCGCGGAGAGCTCGATTTGGCTAATCTCATCATCATCAATCGGAGCAGGAAGATTAAGATCTATCAAGCTTTCACCAAATTTAGCAGCAGGAGCTCTAGGTTGAAGATGATGAGTACTAGTGGTAGTAGTAGTAATTGGTGCTGAACCAGTGACATGTGACCTCTTGTGCCCACCAAGTGCTTGCCCAGATGAGAAAACTCTGTAACAAACGGGACATTCATGCACTTTTTCCTCCGCCATTGATGAATTGCCTCCTCCATTTGTGTTCTGAATCACACCCAATTCATGGGTTGTTAGGCTTTTGTTGAATTTGATCTTCTTGTGACTCGCTCTGTGCCCACCAAGTGCTTGATAAGATCGAAACACTTTCTTACAAGTCTCACATTTGTACTTTTTTCGAGCACGAGCTTTGCTGTACTTCAATTCATCAGACTCTTCGCTCTCGTTATCTTCTTCTTCTTCATCATCAACTATGTATTTCTCTTGCTCTGCTTCTTGTGGGTCCCCTTCGTTTTCTTCTCTCATCCATTTGTCCCTCGACAGCATCATCAAACAGTATGCAACATCTTCTTCTGGGGTTGTATCAGAGATTGAACTCACCGGTTCCGACTCAGTCCCACCCAGTTTTCCCAATTTGACCATCTTCAATTCTGGACCTTTTTGATCGTGGTGTTCTGTGATTGAAAATTTTCGAATCCGTTTCGATCTTCTGTGAATTGGGTTCTTGGATGACTCGGTCTCGCTCTCTCTGTCTTGAAGAACAACAGACCCAGCATCAACTGCAAAAGAGAACTCAGGATCTACCAATCGAATGCTCTTCTTTGGATTCTCTCTCAAACCATAACCCAATCCTTTGTCTTCGTTTTCTTCTTCCGATGAAGAAGATGATGACGATGGAGCTGACTCGGTCTCTTCGCCGAGTTGATGATTATGATCAATGGGTTGCTCTGTTTTAGGAGGAACATACAGATTCAACATGTGAGATCTCATGTGCCCACCCAAAGCTCTACCATTAGCGAAGCTCTTGTAGCAGAGCTTGCACTTGTGTTTTTCCATTACACAGAACCAAAAACAAACACAAACCCAGAAAATGTTATGCGTTTTTTATCTCTACTTTCTCTCTCTAGGTGCTCTGTGTGATGATAGACTTCTCGCCCTTTGTTCTTAGGAAGTATAGAGAGAGTGAAAAACTAAAAAGAGTAGGTGACAAGCATTCCTGCACCAAGATATATAATATATATATGTGTATATGTATATATACATATATATATACAAGATATATATAAATTACAGAATTTACAAAAAAATTGGGTTATGATTCTGATTTCATTTGGAGTAATTTTTCTTCCTAAAACGGAAAAACGCAATAAATAAATTTTAATAGAAGCATATGCATGAAGGGTGAAAGAGAGACATTTAACATGTAAGTCTTGGCCGTTTCTTTAATTTACTTCCACCCTCTCCATATTTCCAAAAATGCCCTTCACATTCCTTTTTACCTTTTCTCACAAAATATGACAATTAATGTATGTGTCGTTTACAAGTATATGTTTTTCCTTTTCTTCACATGGCTTTTTCAATATTTGTTTATTTTTAATTAGTAAAGTTTTATTTTGTGGTATTAGTAGTATAAGGTTATTTTGGGAACAAAAAAGTTTACCAGAATGAACCGGTGGCTAGCTTGTACAAGTCAAGAAAACTGCTGGGTTTGTTGTAACGACGAAGCAGAATATAATACCACGTGAACCGGAGGACCAAACAGTCCCATATTAAAGAAACACTTTATTAGTTAACTTCACCCAGCTGTGACCATATAACTTACCCAAACAAATGAAATAAAATATAAAAGAAGCCGATTTGTACATTTGTCACCACCACAAAAAACGGTCCTAAACCAAATATAACCTCACGGTGACGTGTTTTAAAAAATAGTTTTAGGTACACAGTTAATGTGGGAATTTACTATAATGTTTTAATTAGTTATAAAATCAGATTCTGTTACCTTTTCGCGGGTATTAGCGCCAATTGTTAGGTGTTGGAAGGTTTGGCGTGCCTGTTGGACCGGTAATGCCCTTAATAATGCTTAAGATAATATTGAATGGTAATTTAACCTATTGATTTCAGAATTAGGCCTTTAATTTTGGATCTTTTGTTGAAACCACTGACAAAGAATGAAAGGTTGGAAATTGAGTATGAAACTAACCTCCCTTTTAGAATGCAGTTTTCTAAGGGGAGTAAATGCAGTTTTGTTGGGATGTAGACCCGGTCCATCTATTTCGACATCGTGTTATTGTGTTTCGATTGTAACACGCGCATTTTTGGTCAATTTTACACGTTTTTTTCATTTAATTTTAATCTTATGTTGTATAATTTTCATTGAACTAAAGAGTTTTTTTTTTTTTTTGGGCGGGTTGATAAGGTTTGATTAAACACAATATGCATCTAACCCGAATACCCAATTGGTTGAAAACCCATTCAAACTCGGTTGGACCCACCCAATTGCCGGGTCTTAATGACAATTGACTCAACAAATGGGCTCTTTTGTCAGTTACAGTTGAATTGGAAATATGTACACTTATTCATTATTTTGGTCATTGCAAATAATTTAGCGGTGGACTTATTAATTTTGTTTGTCAACAAAGTTACAAGTGTTGTTAACCAATTCTTCATAGCTTTTGTGATGTCACTGATATAGGCAAGTCAAGATTCTATGCTACTCCTAGAAATTTCTAATATTATGAGGACACAACCGTAGTTCAGATTAGACTGCTCATGACACCCACATGAGTCCCCTGAGAAATAATATGAAATTTTTTATTTTTATTTTTTAATTTTTAGGTGTGTCATGTGTGGCACTCTTCAATATCTAAGACTACGTTTGGATTGAAGAAGTTAAAAGGAAAAAAATAGAATTATATATTTTGTGTTTGATTTAAAAAGTGAGAAAGGAAGAAAATAGAGAAATCATATGGTTCTGAATAATCACAAACTGTTATGCAATTAAAAATTTGCATAAAATTGACGCATTTAATTACATAGCGGTTGTGATTTGCCGGGACAATAGGACAATTTAATAATTTTTGGAAAATTGGAATGATTTAGAATAGAAATGATAATTGTACCAAAGTCCTAACAAGTAGAATGGTTGGAATGGGTCTTGCGTGGGAAGGCCTACTACTAATGGGATGGGTCCTCGGATGGACAAAAGATATGAGATCAATCTTCTAAACCATGCTAATGCTATGTAATTTAAGTGAACCCCATTAATAAAGATTGCATATGATCCAATATGATTTGATTAGAGAGATTGAGATTATTCACAATAGGGGAAGATTATGCCACTCCTTGATGGGAAAGTGGTCATTGTTACCTTTTGATTGAGAAAATTATATTTTGGTGATCAAAGTTAAACATAATTGTTATATTGTGATTTTAAAGTCAAGAAAAGATGCATAGTGACTAATATTGAAACTTAATTGATATTAGGTGATTATTTGAGAATAATTTGGTCAAAAATACTTAAAGGTTAGAAAAACATTTTAAAAAATAAATTTTAGATGACAAAATTGACATCCAATACAAATAATAACTCATTGAATTCATCCTCCTACTCTTTCTCTCTCTCATCCAAAGTTTTATTTTTTCCTTTTCCATTTCAAATTTACCAATTTAAAAAATTAGAATTTCTTTATCAACTATCTCTTTTCACCCTTATCTCTTTTTCAAGGCTCTCCATTTACAGTGGCAACTAAGAAAAGAAGTTTCATCCCAAAATGTTCTCTATATAATATTTATAGAGGCGGTCCCTTCTCATTTTGTTACTTTAATAAATCATCTTTTGCTGAATGATTATAAGGTCACGACTACAAGATGTGGTTAAGGCTATTTAGTTAAACTAGGGTTGTGGATTACTCATTTTTGTCATTCAAAAACGCAAACATCAACTTGTAAAGTATAATAACAATATCTTGAAAATAATGAATAAGAAGAAAATTTACAATTTTCTCGTCTTGCCTCTTATAACCTTGAAGAAAACGATGTAGAACATCCGTTCTTAATTTTCTCCGATCTTGGTCTTTTCTTCAGATACCCACCCTGCTAATGTATCGTCTATTTGTTAGTCAATTTAAGTAAGTGTTTATTTAGCTTAATGTACAGGGTAAATTTGTTCACTTACATAATAATATATTATAAGGTCATTTAAGTAATAAATCATCAAATGGTCACTTATTAGTAATTAAGATTTAGGTTAGGTGACTATTCACCTTTTCTTGACTTTATGGTCACTTTACGCCAATTATGATTAATTTTGGTCACCAAAATGTAATTTTTCCATTTTTGGTGTTTTTGGTATCGGATCTTTACTTCTTGAAGGAAGGTCAGAATTTGAGTTTTAATAATAAAAAAAAAAAAAAAACAGTAAATTGCCTTAAATTTCAAAAATAAAACATTGACACGTCTTTAAATTTGCTATTTCAATCCCATTGAAAGATATGTAGAGGATAAAGCAAAACCCCTAGACTAGATTTTAACATTATAAACCTAAGTTCAAGAAATCATCAACTCATTATGTAGTTTAGATACATTTAAAGTTCGACAATGCATGTAGTTTTTAAAATGACCGTAATTTTATAACTAAGGAGCACTGTTATGTGACCACATCAGACTGGTCGGATATCTGACTTTAGCTATGAAGGTCACTACAACAATTATGGGACTCATCTACAACTATACGTAATACTTGACTATCGAGTGTATCAAATTTGACAAATAAACTTTCATAGAACATCTAAAAGTCAAAAAATAATACAAAAATATCTGTTTGTATAACATTACTTAAACTAGAAAAAGGTAAACCCTCATATTTATACTACATAATATGAACAAATGAAAAAATAAAAATTGAAAATTGAAAAAATACATTGCAAACAAGATACTTGCACGGACTGAGATTATTCACAAAGTGGATTAATAAAGATTGCATATGATCCAATATGATTTTATTAGAGATTGAGATTATTCACAAAGTGGATTACAAAAATCCTCATTGGTAGGGAAATATTATGCCACTCCTTGATGGTAAAGTGGTCAAAATTGTTACCTTTTGACTATTTTTTTTTTTTTTTTTTTTTTTTTTTTTTTTTTTTTTTTTTGGTATGAGATGAAAGGATGTGAGGATTCAAGTTTCGGAGGCGGGCACGTCAGTCAATTGCCTTAAATTAAAAATAAAATATTGAAGGGTTTTTATATTTGCTATTTCAATTCCATTGAAAGGTTTACACACAATAAAAGCTAATACACGGGAATAGATTTAAAAAATATAATCCTAAGTTTAGGAAATCACCAACTTATTATGTAGTTTAGATACAATTAAAATTCCATCTAATTTTTAAAATGATCTTAATTTTATAATTAAGGAGTACTGTTATATGTGACCACATTTGATTAGTCGGGTATCTGACTTAGTTACGAAGGTCTCTACAATAATTGTGGGATTCACCTACGACTATGCAAAATACTCGACTGTGTCATTAAATTTGACAAATAAACCTTGATAGAACATCTAAAAGTCAAAAGATATTCATATTTATACTATATAATATGAACAAATGAAAAAATTAAAATTAAAAAAATACATTGCAAAGAAGATACTTGCACTGAATTTCCTGTAAAATCATAGATTATCATCAAATACATTGATAGTCCTTTGTTTGAATGAATAGTGCTATGATTAGAGTGCTCTTATCTATTGGATTGAATGCAAGTTCACTGTGACAACACTGTTATCCTAAAATTGTCCTATTTGAATATTTTATAAAAAAAAAAAAAAAAAAAACAGAAACAAAAGTCATATCATAGTTAATGACTTGTTTGGTTTGTAATTTTAAAAACAGTTCTAAAAAAATTCAAAAAATCAGAAATTATTTTCAGGAAACAATTTTTTATAATTATCTAAAAATAGATATTTTTATATGAGTTTTCTAAAAACTGAACTAAGATATTTTTATATTGTTTTATGTTTTTCAGTTTTATAAAACTGTTTTTATAATTACAAACCAAACAGGTTCAGTTACTTATAATTTTTTTATTTATATTTATTATTCCATGAAAACATGAGTCCTCACAATTATAACTCTTATTTAAAATTTTATATGTACTGAACAGTGAGCTTAAATAGACAATGAGTTTGTAGAATCCAAGTCCATAACAATTTAAATGCCCTTACCCCAT